TGCTCTTAGATCTCTAGACATTATTGTTATGAAGGTTTTCTAAATGTTGTGGTTTTGTCGAAACATGTTCGGGTTAAATGCCGGTGATTTTTTGGATTTGTTTGAGTCTATTCTTTTGGATAAATTCGTAAGATTTGGTTTTTGTGCCAGTTTGAGGATTTGATGTTATGTTTATGTCGTTTATTTTGATATGTGTGTATGGTTTGTTGTTTGTTTATTGTTTTGTGTTTTTTTGTTTTTATTTGTTGTTTGTGTATGTTTGTTTTATTTGTGCTTGTTTGTATATTTATGATTTATTTGGTTTATATTTGTTTTGTTGAATGTATTTTGGTGTATTTGGTATTTGATGCTTTGATTTTTTGTTTTTTGAGTTATGTTGTGTTTTTGTGGTTATTTATATGTATTGATTTATATTTAAATATTGATTTGGATTTGGCTTTTATTAGTTTTGTATATAATTTGAATAAAAATTTATTAGTGTAAATGATTTATTAATTTAATGGAGAAAAACATGTTTTTTGTATTTATGTAAAAATGCATATTTGTTATTGGATAATATTTAAATTTAATATAGATACATATTGATGATTAAAATTTGATAGTGACGAATTATATTGTATTATTTTTGAGTTGTGTTGTGGGTTAATATTTATTGGTAGATTTAGGGATGGTTGGGGGAGGGATTTGATTGTGTGTTTTTTTGTTTTTAATGTTTAGTGATGGATGGATTGTGTTGAATTATATTATATTATTTTTGAGTTGTATTATGGGCCGATATTTATTGGTAGATTTGGGGATATTTGGGGGAGGGATTTGATTGTTTTGAGTGATGAATGGATTATTTGTTATTGTAGTTATTTATAATTGTGATAGATATGTTGGTTATTAGATTTTTGTTTTATTATGAATGGTTTATTTTTTTATATTTTAAGATTGTTTTATTGGGTAAATGTTATTGTTTTGTTGGTTACTATTTTATGTGGTTTTGTATAAGTATTATTTGTTTTATTGGACGATTGATAGTTGTTTAAATATTGTTTAATTGTATAAATATTTTTGATGTTTGTTTATTGATTTAATTTTGTGCTTGGTTTAGGTTTTATTTTCGGAGCGGGATGATGTAATTTCTATGCCTAAAATGGCATTGGGTGGATGAGATGTTATTTCCTAACTCTATTTTGTCGTTGGAGTCTTCGAATATTTCGATTTGAAGATTTGGGTTGAATTGTTGATTATATTTTAGGATGCCGGATTAAAATTTAATTTATTGAAAAAAAAAGATATTTTATTTGATTGGTTTAATAAAAAAATAATTTATTCTTTATTTGGAATTTTAATAAAATATTTATTGTAATTAAGATACAATAAAAAAAAATATTTTTTCGAATATCCTCCCCTAATAAAATTATATGGTATATAATCTATTTGTTTTGTGATTTTAAAAAACAACTACCAATTATATCGTAAGTTCTACCAGATTTTATCTTTTTATGGTTTTTTTATATGTTTAAATTATATAGTTTTTAATATATATTGCGTTTTAATAAAGAAGAATTATATATTATGTTTAATTTAGTAGTTAAAGTTCATATATATATATATATATTTATTAAAGATATATTTAATATATGATTTTTTATATAAATAAAAATATAATAATAATATTTGTATATATATATATAATATAAATAATATTTTATTCTATTAATAAATATTAAATTATTAATTATTTGAATTTAACATATTAAATTATGTTTTTTGTTTAATATATTTATTTACTCTATAAAACGAAACCGTGAAACTTGCTCGTCGCACTTGCGCGCGTTTTCCCGGACCGCTTTTTCCGAAAAATCCCGGATATTTCGGAAAATTGGTCTGGACTGCCCCTGGAAGATATAACCGCTTCATATTTCCTACGGACCGCTTGTCCAAGTCTGTCCGGGCTACCCCGGCATATGTGCGGAAGACATAGTGGCTTCATTTTTTACAGGGACCAATTTCCCGAAATATTCCAGATATTTCGGGAAAATGGTCCGGGAATCGAGCCATCCACCATTTTCTCGAAATATTCCGAATATTTCGGGGACCATTTTCCTCGAAATATTCCAAATATTTCGGGAAATGCTGTCGTCGAAATATCCGGAATATTTCGGAAAAATGGTCTGGAGTGCGACTATCGAAATATCCGGGATATTTCGGAAAAATGGTCCGGGCTTTGAACGAAGCCGTTGTGTCTTCCAGATAAAGAGTCGGGGCATAGATCTGCTAGTCCGTAGCAATTTTGGCTGAAATCTTGGCCCATCTTCCGAGAGCTTGGCGATGCGAGAAGCTGTGAGCCGCGGCCGATTGTTGCGACCAGTGGTGTTTTTCCCAATGCTTTGGGCGAAATCAGTGCGGCTTTGCTTGCACCCAGGATGTTTTCTGGTCGATCGCGTTTTCGCTTGCGCTTGCAACAACTGCGTGTGTGGATCTTTTGAGGCCAACAGCCCACGGATCCGTTCTCACCTTGCTCAGGCGGCCGCCTTTCACTGACTCTTTGGCGTGACCCTATCGCGACCAGCCCGGCCCTCAGACCTGTGTTTGGAGAACGGCAGCATGCTTTTCGCATGCGACGAGTATACATTTTTGACATATATGAGATGATAAAGATGCCTGAGTTGCAAAAAATGTCTTGCCGGCGCGGGCTTAAAAAGATTGTCTCTGTTCTTGGCACACCCGTCACGGCCTGGACCTTGGCCCCTAAAAGCTCGGCCCTTTTTTGACACCCGCATCAACTTACCCCTAATTGCTGGTTTGGATTGGTGGTTTGGGGATTGAACCCCTGGATCATGTTGAAGTTGAATGCGAAACCACCCCCTAACCTCCAAAACACCAATCCAAATTTCCAGTCCAAACCGGGCCGCCGAAAACCTGGCCGTGGGCCAGAATACAGCCGTCGTGGAGGACAAGGAGAGCGGCGGGGCAGCGCCGGGACAAGCGCGTGACAAACCGTTGCCAGTGGACAAGCGGCCAGTGGCCGCGCGCAACTGGGGCACGCGCAGCCAACAGCTCGCACGCACGTTCTTGCAGCCCGTCTGCATCACGGCTCTCGGGACGCGCGCACGTGCGCAGGCGAAGCCTGTGGCATGTCGACATCAGAATCCGGCGCGCTGCGCGCCGGAGGCGTGTCTATTTTTGTCTCTGGATCTCTGTCAGTGTCTTTCTCTGTCTCTCTTTGTCTGTTGGTCTCTCTGTCTCTGTCTCTGTCTCTGTCTCTGTCTCTGCCTCTGTCTCTGTCTCTGTCTCTGTCTCTGTCTCTGTCTCTGTCTCTGTCTCTGTCTCTGTCTCTGTCTCTGTCTCTGTCTCTGTCTCTGTCTCTGTTTCTGTCTCTGTCTCTGTCTCTGTCTCTGTCTCTGTCTCTGTCTCTGTCTCTGTCTCTGTCTCTGTCTCTGTCTCTGTCTCTGTCTGTGTCTGTGTCTGTGTCTGTGTCTGTGTCTGTGTCTGTGTCTGTGTCTGTGTCTGTGTCTGTGTTTGTGTCTGTGTGCGTGTCTGTGTTTGTGTTTGTGTTTGTTCGTGTTTGTCTGTTTGTGTTTATCTGTTTTTATGAATATAAGCATGCATTTTTGTTAATTTATATTTATGTTTAATAAATAATATAATTATAAATATAATATTAAATAATTATTAAATTATATTTAGTTTATTTATATTATATACTATATTTATAAATATATAACATATATTAATATTTATTTCAATATTAAAATAATATTTTATATTAATATATTTTAATTAAAATTATTAATATATATATATATATTAGTTATATTAGTAAAAAAATGTTATTTTTATTAACGATAATATTAATAAAAATTAAAGAAAGAAAAAAAATATGAAATAAGGGGAAAAAAGAGAGAAACAAAAAAGAGAGAGGCAAAAAACAAAAAAGAGAAAGAGAGAAAAAAAGAAAGAAAAGAAAAAAATATAGAGAAAGAGCAAAAATTAGAAATAGAAAAAAAACGAAAAAGATCCATAGCAAAAATAATTGCTGCTAACGAAGATGCCCGAGGTGGAGATAATAACCCCCTAACAGGATTTATAAACCAATCTCAGGAAAAGAAACAAAAATACAAAAACCGATATTTTCACATAAATAAACACGAACACACGACAATAAATAAAAAGATACAAAAAAACACAAAACAATAAAGACGAACGACAAATATAAACACATAAAGACAAAGAAAAACAAACCGAGACAATCCGAAAAACAAAGAAACACAAACAAAAACAAATAGAGCCAAAAAAAAAAAAAATTAAGATCCATAAAGAAATAAAAAGATAAAGAAAAATGAAGATTACGAAATAAATAGATAAATTGTTAAAAATCCCCCCACCGAGCCGTGCGAAAAAGCGAAAACTTAAGTCACGAAAAGGAAAAAAAAAAAATACCAAAACAAAATCGATATAAACAATCACCACATTATACATATATTTAAATATATTTATATATTTAAATAATATTTAATAAAATCAATAAATTCAATATTGTTATATATATTATATAAATCAATATTTATTAGTTTTAATATAAAACATATAAAACACATAATAAATATAATAAATATAATATATATATATATATATATATTCTACATATATTATAATATAATATAAATTTATATAATATATTCAAATATTAAGAATTCTTATTTAATATAATATTTATATTAAATATATATTAAATATATAAATTATTTTAAATAAATAATATAATTAAATTTAATTATGGGTTTATATAATATATTGTTTAAATTCAATTTAAATATAAATAAAAAAGAATGTATTTAGTTAATTTTACAATTATATTCAATTTAGGTAAATTTATTTTAATTATTCCTATAGAAATCCTCAATGAATGGTTTGCCGCAAGCAATCCTTTTTCCCATAAAGGGTTGATTGGGGGAGGGGCTGGCACGCGTATGATCGTGTATATCTCATTGATCTCGCAATACTCAATCTCTCATGTTCCTTCATTTCCCATGTTTCAAAGTCTTGGCCCAAGTGGCAAAGCCTTGCAACTGCTCATGGCATCCGACTACGGCGTTCGGTCACAGCGTGTGATTCTCTCCCGGTGAGCTACGTGCTCTGGCCGCTTTTCCTGACATGCCATGGACGTCCAAGGCAAAAATGGGTTTGTCTGTCTTTGAGAGTGCACTTTTCGGGGATTGGGAAGGGACACCTTTGGGGGTCACTTCTTTGCTCAGACAAACCCAGTTATTGTTTGTGTGCTCCAGTCCTCGGCGTAGAATGGGGCTTGTAGTCGATTGGTCCAGCTGTTAAATGCCACGAAGAGGTTGCGACGAGAGAAGGGCGATCGGTTCCCACTGGAAGCATGGAGCAAGTTGGAGTCAAAGAACAGGACCTGCCCGTGTGCCCAAGTCTTGGATGCCCGTGCCTGTGCCGGATGGACTTTTTAAGCTCAGGGCATCCCCGGCTTCGCCCACACAGTGCTTGATACCCTGCTTCTCCGCCAGCTGGCGAATGTGATCCTCCGATGGCGTGCCGTAAACCTCAGCCCGCTCAAAAGAGGAGATGGATTGACCGCATGCTGGCCCCGCCTGCGATTGCAGGGACTTCTCCCAGTTTGCATTCTTCTGACGACCGGAACAACGCAGGAAGGACTTGTGGGACCCAGGAATCACCATCAGCGCACCATTGTGCTCTGCCTCGAACAGCAAAGACACAAAAAGAGCAAAGCTGAGGCAGTCTGCGTGCTCAACCCCAGGGTGACTGATGCACTTGATTAAACACGCAGCTTCCTAGTAAACATTATCTTCAACAAAAAAGACGCTGCCAAAGCGCGCAGCTTCATTGGTCCAAGCTGCATTCTTGTCCAGGAAGATCACAGCAGACAAGCTTCGAGGCTTCGGCATGCCATCTTCCGCGTGCCATGTCTCAAAGTCGCCTCAAAGCGTTCCGGGCGATACCGATCCCCCTTGATCCGTCTGTCACCATGGGTGTCGGTTTTTCGGGGTCGGTTTTTTTGGAAGAAACAAATATACAAATATGTTGTGTTCCTTTTGGTTTACCCACCACAAAGGGGCACTCTCAAAAAGAGACACGCGCAAATTATTCGAGACCGAGCAGCTATGCCACGAGAAGCCAGTTCCCTTGAAGGGCGCTTGCAAATTCACGCGAGACCTTGGAGTTTGCTTTTCACTGCACAACGGTCTTGGGCCCCAAAAAAACGGCTTGTCAGCTTTGGCTTCCCGTTAAAACACTCCAAAAGGGCTACCCTCCGAAAGGTTCACCAGGGACTCTCGAGCAACTCTTGACAAGTGGCTGATGCACATAAACATCATCTGCCAGAATCTGCTGCACATGCCTGGTGATTAGGTCTGATCGGGCAAGTTCTGCAAGAGGACTGCCGTCATCCTCGCAGAATCCAGCTAGCCACTCCAAACAAGTCCTGCAGAAATGCAAGGGAGCGTTGCAAACAATGGCCAGGTTCGCTGACGCGGCCTCGTGGACGGCAAATACACTCCGTAGCACGGAGGAATTTGCTTCCGTGACCAGGCGACAGTTGTCTGTAACCTTGAGCCTTGCAACAGGCACTCTGGAACAGGTGCAAGCTCTCTGCCAGTGCCGGTTGCATCCGAAGGTCTGTTCTTCGCTGGTGAACGTGGCCAAGTATTTTCTGCAGGCCTGGGCGGGCCAGAGTGTAGACCGGGCAGTCTTGGCCACGCACGCGCGCCAAAGGCTGGCCTCGATGCGCTCAGGGGGCACCACGTTGCGCAGGACACAGCATCCCTGTTCATCGAACGTGCCGAGCCTGGGCCAACGGAGGGCTGGGCTTCTCCTGGCTTCCTGAACCGCTCTACCGGCTCTACCTCTCTCCTCCCCGAACGTACCTCCGTCTCTATGCCCCAGCGAAGGATCCCATTAGCGTTCGCCGAGGCCGAGGTCCCGGCTCACTACTCACAGGGCCCCAAACGGTTGGATCCGGACGCACCGCTACCTGCGCCATGAGAAAGGCCGCCCCAAACCGCCGCTGAGTTCCTGAGTTCCTGCCTCTGCATCTTCGCAACGAGTCCGGTAGGGCTCGAAGGGAACTTGTGGCTCCGCAGGTGTATAGCCTGCCACTCACGAAAACGCAACCCCTGGCTCTCGTCACTTGCCTTCCATTGTAGTTGGCTGCATGAAATTGACACCCAAGTCTTCAAACAAGTCATGTGCAAAGCGACACGGCGAGCTGGTCCATTCTTGAGCCATCTCTTGCAAACTGGGGGCAGGCGCGGCCCGCTCGGAGCCCACATGAGCTCACATGCTCTCTACAAGTTTGGCATGTCTCGGGCCTTGCACATCTGCCATGGAAGATTGGGCCGGGACCCCACTGGCACAAGTGTGACAAGTGCTATCACTCAATGCTGTGAGCCACTCAGCATGCGGTCTTGGCTTCCAGCTTCAGCGCAAAGCCGATATCGCGGGCAAACGCCCCCCGCAAGGATAAAGTTCCAAATCCCATCGAACAAAGTCGTCAGACAGCGTTGGACATCCCTTGGCAATGCTGCGAACGCGGGTCAGAGAAGGGAAGGACCCGACAACCCGACAGGCAAAAGCTTCTCAGGGCAAAGTGAGCTGAAGTGAGGTTCGGTGAGTGGGTGAGGTGAGGGTCAGTCATTAGGCTGGGGAGGGCAGAGTGTGGGCGGATGCTGAGCTCGAAATGATGGTGGGAGTGGACTTGGCGAGTGGGGAACGCTGCATTCGAAGATGACGTCTGCATTTGTGTGGGTGATATGATTTGTGATGTTCAACGTTCAGACCTAGGAGTCGGTTGGCCTTTAGTTTTAGAACGAAGGCAGAACGAAGGAGCTCGAGCAAAGAAACGGCTTTAAAAAAAAAATGATCATGTATCTTGTGGGATTCAATTCAGGAACACGTGCTCAACTGCGTTAATCGATTCACCAGGCGGGTGCCCAACACTCCCCAGAAAAGAAGAAGACAAGTGCATCATGCTACTCATGTAATGCGGTCCGAGTGAACCAGTGGATGCTGGACATGGGGTGGGTGCGTCCTTGCTACTTCGCATGTCTTTAGAGGAAGCCGTGGTGCTGGCTGGGCTCTGGGACGTGCACGGGCCCTTGGTATAGAGAAGGCTGCGGAGAAGCGTGTTGAATGTTGTGAGCGCGTGGGACCCCCAAAATAGTGGGTGTCCTCTTCTTTAAAAAAGAACCACACAAAGAAGGGTACCCTCATCAAAAGGACAGACCCAGGTCACAAAAAACGCTGCGAGGATTGCTCTGTTGCCAAAGCGCTTGGAGCTACCCATGTGGGCGGCTAGGTCCGTCTTGTGAAGGCCGTCTTCAACCGGGCTGTGGTGCTTGATCTCTTGAGCGCTTTTTCGGGTGGCCGGGCACGGCGAAGCCAGGAGAGGCGTCTTAATCGATGGCCCTGCCTTGACAGAGACTTTCCTTTTGGCTGGTTTGAATGATTCTCAATACACATCAGTCCACAAACGAAAACAAGCCAGAAATCAACAACACAGCCTGCGATGGACGACAAATGTCTTCTGCACACTCATGCACGTAGCATCTGCCAATACCAAGTTCAAGTCAAACTGTTTGATTGCCACCCTTTGGAACGCGTAATGTCCAGGCGCCAAATGTTCTGGTCAACGATGCCGATGTAGACATAGATAGTTGCTCTCTGCATGCAAAAGTGTGTCGTCTATACAGATTTGTCTGTATACGTATCGTGCATGGATGTGAATATGGAATATGCATATCCGAAAACGGGTACACATGTACACATGTGTACGTGTATATGTGAACAACTGCAGATCTGCTGTCTCTAGCCTTGTGGCACCTTTTTGGATCTTGTAATTTCGCGTGTGATCCATCGGTAATCTTGAAAACCTATGAACAGGGTAAAGCAAATCGAGCGTAGCGCTACGCTCAGGCGCTCAGGCGCTCAGCTGGCATGGGGGCGGTTCTGGGCTTCAACACGAGCTTTGGCCGTCCACCGGCCGGATCCTGGGAAACTCCGCAAAGGATCCGACTGAAAAGCACCCCGGGTTTGCATGCTTAAGTTCATTTAGAATTCTATGGCAAAAGGGCTGAGGCAAAGGTCTGGTTCCCCCAATCCTGTCATGCACCAGAGGGGGAACACCACAGAGAGGGCAATCACAGCATCAGGCATGAGGGTTAAGGATTAATTTGGAACGGCGACACACGCCAATGGGTGTGCCTTTTGCAGCGCGGGCGTTGGCTTTGAGCAAGACCTGCATGCTACCCCACGCGATTTTCGACCATGCAAAAACAAAGAAGCCGTGTCTGAGAATGGGGCCCGTTCTGTGGAGCTTGAGGCTGAGCCTTGCGCATGTGCGTGATGTGGGAGTGTCTCCAAGTAGCGAAACCCGCGTGGTTTGCATTTTAAAAGGAAACCAAAAACAAGACAATCCTTTTAGGGGGCTCCCTATGTTGAGAAACCCTCAAGTCTTGGGCATAGAGCTAGATCTATCCGAGCAGCTGCAGCTGCGGACGTCATGGACCTCGTACACGGCACACACCACAGTGCGTGCAAGGGGCAGCTTTGAGGATACCGCTGATTTGGTCGCATAGATGGTGCTACCTTGCAAAATCTTGCAAACATTGTAAGCAGGGTCCTGTGAACATGCCCGTTCTCACTAGAACAGCCTTGTGCACGCGCTGAGACGCGTGCTTGCGGATGGTGTGTGGGTGAAGGGGGCATTGCCTGCAGAATTGCGCAATTGGCTGCGGCTCTGGATTCAAGCGCAGCGCGCGCTCGAACTCGCAAGTCTTTGTGGATGAGCTTGCGACACGGATTCCTACTCTAAGCATGCAGGTGTACTCCCTTGCAAACATGGAACCCCCGACATCCGCCACAATGAGATCCCTCTACGAACACACAGCTCTTGGGATTGCACGCGCAAGGGAGTAGTTTCAAGCGCTGAGCCTACGCCTGGGCGGGGGGCTGATGTCCCTGCCCAAGATCTTGGAGCAAGCTTTGGCTCTGAGCTGGGCTGTGCGCTCATGCTCCATCTCCAGCTCTTGCCTCAGCGCCTTGCTTTTGGCCCTCAGGCTTTCGGCCGTGACCTTGGATGCACCCGAGTGGTTTGTTGGTTCTGTCATTCCAGGGCGATGATACCTCGTGCGTTGGGAAACTTCAAGCAAGATACTGTGGATAGACAGAATCCCAGTTGAGATGGATAAAACTCTATGAATACTGGCGCGAGCCTTCTACCAACTGGTTGTTTTGTTTAGGGTTTGGGGGTTGGTGTAGGGGGAAACCGAAATAAGAAACCTTCTGTAGCGTCTGTAAGGCTATCATCTGCGTAAAGAACTCCTGGTGCCCTCTTTAGTATTAAACGCAAATTCGAACACCCCGATTAGCTCCCTTCCAACCACCAGCTAGAAGGGTTCCAGTACAAACTACTACAAACCCGAATGTACCGTCTTGCCATTGGCCCAGCGACGCTTTGGGACATACCCAACACTTTGTCCACGGCCGCTTGCGCCGTGCCCGGCCGCGCTCGGCTTCCTCGGCTGCCTGGCCGACTCAGGCCCAAAGCTGCGTGCCGCTCGGCAAGCAAGGCCTCCTTCTGGTCCGCCTCTGTGTCTGTGCGTGTGCGTTACGGGGGAGCCAAAGGGCATGTTCAACCTGTCCAAGTGAAACCAACGGACGACTCGGAAAACCAGTCGGAACCCCAAAGGGACACCCCGAAAAAGTCAGACTCTCAGACCCCGCCGCCTGCCTCCGCCCGCAGCTGCCGGCTCTGCTCGGCCATTTTGTGCATCGCCAGGTTCTCCGCCTCCAGCTTCGAGCACTCGGCGCGGAGCGCGGCGGTGCCCAGCGCGGGCTCTTGCGCCTCCTCCGCAAAAATGATCCCCAAATCGGGAGGCGTTTGCTGGGAATTTCCGCAAATCGTGTTTTAAGGGGGTGACCCCCCAATCAGAGACACTCGACCGTCCAAGCGGATACTCCTCCCAACCGACAATCGCAAACTACATGAGACGCCAATCCTACACCGCCCCACCCTGCAATCGCACACTTTCTCCCTGCCAGCTGGGGCATAGCAAAGCTGAGGTGTTTTGACGGAGGTCTTGGTGGGAGTTGGACGGGACTCTGACGGGGGTCTTGGCGCAAGGCTCTGAGTTTTAGCGGGGGTGTTGACGGGGGTTGTGACGGAGGTTTTGACGGGGGTTTGGACGGGGCTCATTGTCAGTGAGGCCAAGATTCCGCCACCAGGGCTTGAGCCCGAGCCCCTCGGGTGAGAGCCAAGCATCCTAACCAGCTAGACTATATCGGATACTGCCAACTGGCTTTCACACCACAACTAGAGTTGCCCCCTGAGGAGAAAGGTAAAGTTTGGACGGGGGTTTGACGGGGGTTTTGACGGGGGTTTGACGGAGGCTTTGACGGGGGTTTTGACGGGGGTTTTGACGGAGGTTTTGACGGGGTTTTGACGGAGGTTTGGCCGGAGGGCGTTGACGGGTGCTGTGGCGGAGGCTCTGACGGGTGTTTTGACGGGATTTTTGACGGAGGTTTTGACAGCGGAAGTTTTTTTTACCCAGTGGGCGCAACCTTGCCAAAACGGGTCTTTTTGGCAGGTTCCGCCCATGGGGCACAACCTTGCGAAAACGGCTCTTTGGGGCAGGTTCCGCCCGGGCCGCACAGCTGCAAAACCCTCCGTCAAAACCTCCGTCAAAACCCTCAAAACGCCGTCCGGGTTGAAACTGATCGTTCCCTGCCAGTAGATGACCAACCAGCCATTGTCAGTGAGGCCAAGATTCCGCCACCGGGGCTTGAGCCCGAGCCCCTCGGGTGAGAGCCAAGCATCCTAACCAGCTAGACTATAGCGGATACTGCCAACTGGCTTTCACACCACAACTGGGGTTGCCCCCTGGGGACAAAGGTAAAGTTTGGCCGGGGGTTTGACGGGGGTTTTGACGGAGGTTTTGGCGGGAGTTTTGACGGAGGTTTTGACGGGGGTTTTGATGGGGGATTTGACGGGGGTTTTGACGGGGGTTTTGATTGACGGAGGTTTTGACGGAGGTTTTGACGGAGGCTTTGACGGGGGTTTTGACGAGGTTTTGACGGAGGTTTTGACGGGTTTGACGGAGGTTTTGACGGAGGTTTTGACGGGGGTTTTGACGGAGGTTTTGACGGAGGTTTTAACGGAGGCTTTGACGGGGGTTTTGACGGGGGTTTTGACGGAGGTTTTGACGGGGGTTTGACGGAGGCTTTGACGGGGGTTTTGACGGAGGTTTTGACGGGGGTTTGACGGAGGTTTTGACGGAGGTTTTGACGGGGGTTTTGACGGAGGTTTTGACGGAGGTTTTGACGGAGGCTTTGACGGGGGTTTTGACGGGGGTTTTGACGGAGGTTTTGACGGGGCTTTGACGGAGGTTTTGACGGGTTTTGACGGAGGTTTGGCCGGAGGGTGTTGACGGGTGCTGTGGCGGAGGCTCTGACGGGTGTTTTGACGGGATTTTTGACGGAGGTTTTGACAGCGGAAGTTTTTTTAACCCAGTGGGCGCAACCTTGCCAAAACGGGTCTTTTTGGCAGGTTCCGCCCATGGGGCACAACTTGCGAAAACGGCTCTTTGGGGCAGGTCCCGCCCGGGCCGCACAGCTGCAAAACCCTCCGTCAAAACCTCCGTCAAAACCCTCAAAACGCCGTCCGGGTTGAAACTGATCGTTCCCTGCCAGTAGATGACCAACCAGCCATTGTCAGTGAGGCTAAGATTCCGCCACCGGGGCTTGAGCCCGAGCCCCTCGGGTGAGAGCCAAGCATCCTAACCAGCTAGACTATAGCGGATACTGCCAACTGGCTTTCACACCACAACTAGAGTTGCCCCCTGGGGACAAAGGTAAAGTTTGGCCGGGGGTTTGACGGGGGTTTTGACGGAGGTTTTGGCGGGAGTTTTGACGGAGGTTTTGACGGGGGTTTTGATGAGGATTTGACGGGGGTTTTGACGGGGGTTTTGATTGACGGAGGTTTTGACGGAGGTTTTGACGGAGGCTTTGACGGGGGTTTTGACGGGGGTTTTGACGGAGGTTTTGACGGGGGTTTGACGGAGGTTTTGACGGAGGTTTTGACGGGGGTTTTGACGGAGGTTTTGACGGAGGTTTTGACGGAGGCTTTGACGGGGGTTTTGACGGGGGTTTTGACGGAGGTTTTGACGGGGCTTTGACGGAGGCTTTGACGGAGGTTTGACGGGGGTTTTGACGGGGGTTTGGATGGGGGATTTGACGGGGGTTTTGACGGGGGTTTTGATTGACGGAGGTTTTGACGGAGGTTTTGACGGAGGCTTTGACGGGGGTTTTGACGGGGGTTTTGACGGAGGTTTTGACGGGGCTTTGACGGAGGTTTTCACGGGGGTTTTGACGGAGGTTTGCCGGAGGGTTTGACGGAGGTTTTGACGGACTTTGAGACGGGGTTTTGACGGGGGTTTTGACGGAGGATTTGACGGGGTTAGACGGAGGCTTGACGGGGGTAATTGACGGAGGTTTTGACGGGGGTTTGACGGAGGTTTTGACGGAGGAGTTGACGGGGGATTTTTGACGGAGTTTGGACGGAGGTTTTGAGGAGGCCTTGGACGGTGGTTTTGACGGGGTTTTGACGGAGGTTTTGGACGGGCTTGTGACGGGAGATTTGACGGTTTGACGGAGGTTTGAGGCCGGAGGGGGTTGAACGTGTGCGAGGCGGAGCTTGACCGGGTGTTTTTGACGGGATTTTATTGGACTGAGGTTTATGACAGGGCGGTTTTCGGCGGGTGACCTCGGCTGACCTCGGCTTCACAAAACGGTCCTTTTGCAGGTGGAGAACTACGAGGGCTTCCTGAACTTGCGAAAACGGCTCTTTGGGGCAGGTTCCGCCCGGGCCGCACAGCTGCAAAACCCTCCGTCAAAACCTCCGTCAAAACCTCCGTCAAAACCCTCAAAACGCCGTCCGGGTTGAAACTGATCGTTCCCTGCCAGTAGATGACCAACCAGCCATTGTCAGTGAGGCCAAGATTCCGCCACCGGGGCTTGAGCCCGAGCCCCTCGGGTGAGATACTGGTCCAACGTGGCTTCACAAACCAGCAACTATAGTGCGCCCCCTGAGGGACTAGAGGTACAGTTTGCCGGGGTTTGACGGGGTTTTGACGGAGTTTTGGCGGGAGTTATTGACGGAGGAATTTTGACGGGGGTTTTATGATGGTGGATTGTTGCCGGTGTTTTTGACGGGGTTTTGATTGACGGAGGTTTGTGACGGAGGTTTGAACGGAGGCTTTGACGGGGTTTGTTGAAACGGGGGTTTTTGACGGATGTTTTGACGGGGGTTTTGGACGAGATTTTGACGGAGGTTTTGGACGGGGGTTTGACGGAGTTTTGACGGGAGCGACGGGGGTGTTGACAGGGGGGACGGGGGTTTTTGACGTGGTTTTTGACGGAGGTTTATGACGGGCTTTACGAGGCTTTGACGGAGGTTGACGGGGTTTTGACGGACCCCAAACCAAGCCTAAACCGACCCTAAACCAACCCTAGACCGACCCTAAACCCACCCTAAACTGACCCTAAACCAAGCCTAAACCCACCCTAAACCCACCCTAAACCAAGCCTAAACCAACCCCAAACCAAGCCTAAACCGACCCTAAACCAACCCTAAACCTACTCCAAACCAACCCTAAACCAAGCCTAAACCAACCGTAAACCAACCCTAAACCGACCCTAAACCAACCCTAAACCGACCCTAAACCAACCCTAAACCAGCCCTAAACGAACCCTAAACCAACCCTAGACCGACCCTAAACCGACCCCAAACCGACCCTAAAGTAACCCTAAACCAACCCTAAACCAACCCTAAACCGACCCGAAAACAACCCTAAACCGAGCCTAAACCCACCCAAACCAACCCCAAACCAACCCTAAACCAACCCTAAACCGACCCTAAGCCTAATCCCACCCTAAACCGACCCTAAACCGACCCTAAACCAACCCTAAACCAACCCTAACCAACCCTAAACCGACCCTAAACCAAGCCTAAACCAAGCCTAAACCGACCCTAAACCGACCCTAAACCGACCCTAAACCAACCCTAAACCAACCCTAAAGCAACCCTGAACCTAACCCTAAACCAACCCTAGCCCGACCCTAAACCCACCCTAAACCGACCCTAAACCAAGCCCCTAACCAAGCCTAAACCGACCCTAAACCACCCTAAAGTAACCCTAAAAACCAACCCCTAAACCGACCCGAAACCAACCCTAAACCGACCCTGAACCGACCCTAAACCAACCCTAAACCAACCCTGAACCAACCCTAAACCAACCCTAGACCGACCCTAAACCCACCCTAAACTGACCCTAAACCAAGCCTAAACCAAGCCTAAACCGACCCTAAACCGACCCTAAAGTAACCCTAAACCAACCCTAAACCGACCCGAAACCAACCCTAAACCGAGCCTAAACCCACCCAAACCAACCCCAAACCAACCCTAAACCAACCCTAAACCGACCCTAAACCAAGCCTAAACCCACCCTAAACCGACCCTAAACCAAGCCTAAACCAAGCCTAAACCAAGCCTAAACCCACCCTAAACCGACCCTAAACCCACCCTAAACCAACCTAAACCAACCCTAAACCAACCCTAAACCAACCCTAAACCAACCCTAGACCGACCCTAAACCCACCCTAAACTGACCCTAAACCAAGCTTAAACCAAGCCTAAACCGACCCTAAACCAACCCTAAACTAACCCTAAACCAACCTTGGACCGACCCTAAACCCACCCTAAACCCACCCTAAACCAAGCCTAAACCAAGACTAAACCGAGCCTAAGCCAAACCTAAACCAACCCTAAACCAACCCCAAACCAAACCTAAACCAACCCCAAACCAAGCCTAAACCAACCCTAAACCAACCCTAAACCAACTCCACACCAACCCTAAACCAAGCCTAAACCGACCCTAAACCAACTCCAAACCAACCCTAAACCAAGCCTAAACCAACCGTAAACCAACCGTAAACCGACCCTAAACCAACTCTAAACCAAACCTAACCCAAACCCAAACCAACCCTAAACCAACCCTAAACCAACCTTGGACCGACCCTAAACCCACCCTAAACCCACCCTAAACCAAGCCTAAACCAACCCCAAACCAAACCTAAACCAACCCCAAACCAAGCCTAAACCGACCCTAAACCAACCCTAAACCAACTCCAAACCAACCCTAAACACCCTAAACCGACCCTAAACCAACCCTAAACCAACCCTAAACCGTTAAACCAAGCCTAAAACCTAAACCCGCCTAACCCCACCCTAACCCACCCTAAACCCAACCAAAACCAACCCTAAACCAACCCTAAACCAACCCTAACCAACCCTAGACCGACCCTAAACCCACCCAAAACTGACCCTAAACCAAGCTTAAACCAAGCAAGCCTAAACCGACCCTAAACCGACCCTAAACTAACCCTAAACCAACCCTAAACCAACCCTAAACCAACCTTGACCGACCCTAAACCCACCCTAAACCCACCCTAAACCAAGCCTAAACCAACCCCAAACCAAACCTAAACCAACCCCAAACCAAGCCTAAACCCTAAACCAACCCTAAACCAACCCTAAACCAACTCCAAACCAACCCTAAACACCCTAAACCGACCCTAAACCAACCCTAAACCAAGCCTAAACCAAGCCTAAACCAAGCCTAAACCGACCCTAAACCGACCCTAAACCCACCCTAAACCAACCTAAACCAACCCTAAACCAACCCTAAACCAACCCTAAACCAACCCTAGACCGACCCTAAACCCACCCTAAACTGACCCTAAACCAAGCTTAAACCAAGCCTAAACCGACCCTAAACCGACCCTGAACTAACCCTAAACCAACCCTAAACCAACCCTAAACCAACCTTGGACCGACCCTAAAATCATCGATGAGTGCGCGGGTCGCGAGTACGTGATTCACGGGTCTAAGAGTATCCGATGACAGACGGCAGAACCGTATCCGATTGGACGGGCCAGTACGCAGCTGGCAGTTTTCTCGTTTTAAGGGGTCACGACCAAACCCAAAACGGGAACAACCGCCTCCAAAGACCAGCCCCTCCTGGCGCAAAGTTTGGATCTGGCGCGTGAGGTTCTCACACTCCACCTGCGTCGTCTGCAGCCGGAGCTGCAAAGCTTGCACGTAGTCCTGGAACCTGGCGATGCTCTCCGGCACGTTGTCCGTGACCCTGGGGCTCCCGCAGCTCGGAGACCGGGCCCGGGAGCCGCTGCGAGATCTCCGCGAGCTCGAGCGCTCGCGGCCTCGCACGCTGGGCGACGCGTCTGGTTCAGCCCGCGCCGCGTGGACTGGGGCCGTTTTCGGCCGCAAGCCGCAGGAAGTGCCAGGCCGCCCTTCCAGGCCAGCCTCCTCCGCACAGGCGAAGAACTCAATGGCCAGCTGCCGGTCGACGCTTGTCAGCACCTCTCCATCCAACTCCTTCAAGCCAGGCAGAGCGCGGACCACGCCGTGGCGCTGCGCGGCATCCTGGAAACACGGATTGCCCCCCAAATCCAGAGACTCCAGCTGTGGGAAAGCCTGCACTGTGACGAGGAGGGCCTCCAAATCTGGCAGCAAGTTTCGGAATAACGAAAGGCGCCGCAAGTTGAGCGCCTCCAGCCCATCGATGTCGTCCACCTGAGCGCCCGAAACCGTTGACTTTTGGCTCATCATGGCCCTAGACTATAGATGTACATTTATAGGCCTTGCTGTCCCCCCCCCGAAAAGAAAAAACAAAACAAAAAACGGCAGAACCACCTACCTAAGATGGCCCCTTTTGTGTGTCTTTGGGCGTGCACCTGGTTCTTCGCTGCCAAGAGAACGCGGAGTGCAGGGCATTGCACTGCAGGGCTGAGATCTGTGAGCTGATTCTGGTTCACGTTCAACTCCTCAAGTGTTGGCAGCTGACATATCGGGCTGATGTCCACCAGGTTGTTGTGAGAAACAGAGAGCACCCGCAAGCCCGCGTACTGCGCGAAGTTGATGCCTTCCAAGTTGGTCAACTCCTTTCGCCTTAAGATTAGTTGTTCAGCTTCCTCGTTCTCATCCGGCACCATGGCAGGGCAGCTCTTTGATTGTTAGCCCCAGACATACGGGTGTCCGCGTTTCTGAAGTAAGGCTCCCAGGAAATCCAAAATGTTGGGGTTCCTGTGCATAACACTGCTATGCACGGCTATGCACGGGCTTCGCTATCAGCGCCCGTCCCCAATCCCGCGCCCCTCCCATGACTTTGAAAAGGATCATGTAAGTGCATAACTGTGTCCATATCCTGACTCTGACCCTGGGCTTTCGCCAGGATCCGTCGAAAAGCTGCAGTGCATGACAACCTGCTTGTGCGTGCGATCCTTTCAAGCAATTGCACCCAAGCAGCAGGCTGATTGTCGAGGTGGTGGGGATGACACCTGCGCACTCACTGCGCTAATGAGCAACTTTTGAGCAGTCAAGCAACTCCTGAGGCATTGGCTCGCACGGCCGCCGCTGCTTTTGCGGCCTGGGCTGCTTGCGCCGCTTGTGCGTTTCTAGCGGCCTGGGCTGCTTGTGCTGCCTGGGCTGCTTGAGCCGCAGCGGCGGCTTGCGCTTGGGCCGCTTGCGCGTGGGCTGCTTGTGCTGCTTGGGCAGCTTTAGCTGCTTGTGCTTGCGCAGCTTGGGCTGCTTGCGCGGCTTGGGCTGCTTGCGCGGCTTGGGCTGCTTGTGCAGCTTGGGCTGCTTGCGCGGCTTGCGCAGCTTGGGCTGCTTGCGCGGCTTGCGCAGCTTGGGCTGATTGTGGCGGAGGCTGCGTTCGCTTCTTGAGAACCAGCCTGCCAAGATGATTCCATACTTGCCAGTTCAACTCATGCCAGAAAACATCTGTGCCAATATGTCATAAATGCTCAGGTCCCACACTAGCAGTTTTGACCCCAAAACCTCAAGCACGTCGCCTGGGTCTGCCACCTGCAGGATCTGGCTGGAGAGCAGGGCCCGCCGGCTCAGGCTCCGGTGCGCTTTCTGGCGCCGAGCTCTGCTGGCTTGACACGCTGGGCGCCTAGGCGACTCCTCTTGAAAACGGTGGGTTTCGGTGGCTTTCCGTGGATTCAAAGTCCACCCGATTTTTCGCCCTGCCCCGTTTCCAATACTCCGACTCTTTGAAGGTCTATCCACAGCTCACAAGGCCGCGGCTTGTTGCGATTGCTGCCCGGGCGGCCCCAACCTGCGATAGAGCGCGCCAGAGGGATCGATCAATATTGATCAAGATAGGGGTAGCCAAAAATGGTGGAGTTCCGATTGGTGTCCTTTCTCAAAAGATCCTTCCCCGACCCACCTGGGATCCCTCGGCTTCAACTGAAGCTTTGGGCGGCCAGAGGGAGACGAAACTCCACTCCTTGGCTCAGCCATGCGCTAAGCGCCGCACTTTGCGCATGCGTACGCTGCTAAGCGCATGCGTACCTTCCTGGCTCTCAGGCGCCCGCACCGCCGGGACGGAAGTGATGACCTGCAGAAGGATTTCTGCCGCGCGCCCTCTGGAGAAATGACAAGCCGAGCCGCCACGGGCCCCGATGGTGAGCGGGCTCGCTGCTGAGAGCCCATGGAAACCTGCATGCCCTGCATGCTGGTTGTCTGCATCGCGGCCATGGGTGATGTGCCAGTTATCACTGGCTGGGATTGCATGCCCATGGGCCACCCCACTGTGCACTGTGCACACGGTGAGCTTTGCACAGCAGCCGCTGGCGGGGGAGACTGAACTCTCCGGGCTGGCGCCGTCACCGCCTGTGCCGCCTGTGCCGCCTGTGCCGCCTGTGCCGCCTGTGCCGCCTGTGCCGCCTGTGCCGCCTGTGCCGGTGCCGGTGCCGGTGCTGCTCGCGCTGCTTGGCTCACCGGACTGGGCTTTGGTGCCGCAGGGCTAGGCCGGCTCACGGGCTCGGCAGCTTTGGCCACTGGTGGTGGACCTGCCGGTGCCGGTGCTGCTGGTGCTGCCGGTGCTGGTGCTGCTGGCTTTGGCTCTGGCCGCGCGCCAGCCTTGCCAAGCTGGGGATCGCGAGGCTTAAGCACCTGGAGCATGGCGAAAATGGAAATTGGGAGGATGCAGAAGCTGAGGCCGCGGCCAATTTGGGTCTTCCATCGCTGGACCACTGCAGTGCAGGCCTCAGTGTTCACGCTTCAGCCGGCACGTGCTCGAGGAATCAAATCTTTGCCGGAAGCCAAGATGCGCTGGGCCACTTCCAGCATTCCCAGTCCCCGGTGCCTATCGGTTGCAGCGATGAAACTGATTGGCCCCCCATTCCACGCCTGCTCCCATGGACCAGGCGGCCTTGAATCAGCCTCAGACCATGCCATGCTCTTGCAGGCTCCATGCCGTGAGAGGACACTCGAGCCTTGCGAGCTGGTGCGGGAGCCGAATGCTTGCTCCTGCCCCCGCAGACCCCCGCAAGGCCATAAGATGCAAGCCGTGCCTGACTGGGGGTGTCAACACATCCTTCCGCCTGCCGCGGAATGCTTCGCTGACCACCCCTCCCCATCTGCAAGGTCAGCTTTGCCGCGTCGACGCTGAGGAAACGGCACGTGCAAGCCCCCAGGCAGTTTCGCGCGCAATTGCTCCAGCACCTTGCATAGCATGCCGCCCAATGCACGCGCACGGCGCTGGGCTACGCACCTGCGCCCAGTTTGCCACCGGCCTGTGCAGCCAATCTCGAGTTACTTCCTTCCGATGGACCCTTTCAATATTGCAAGTAAACCAACCACAAAACTTTGGAATTTATATGGTCGCCTTGTTTGCCTAATTGCAACATTTTGGGCATCACCCGTACTTCAAACGGATGACCGATGCCTGTAGTGGCGCCGCATAATTGGGGACAGCCGCGTGATGTCGTACGAGGGTGCCACCTGTCCAGGCACTTAATGCCGGCACAGTGACGCAAACAAATGCAAGTGCAGAGCAGCCGGGAAGAAATATGGAGCACAGTGCAGCGATGCTCTTTTATGTTTGGCTCGCTCGTGACTTTTGTCTACTCATTCAGGCCATGCCTCGGTAGGCCCACTGGGCGCATGCCAAACTTCCAGCATGAATCATGGCATGGTCTAAGTGCCCAACAGCGCATCAAGGCCGCCCAATGCCTTCCAATGAGCCAATTCCTGGAGGCAGTCAGCAAAGCTTGGACATCTTCACACTGAATTTGCGCGCAAAGCGGCTCGGCTTGCTGTCACATGTGTTTCCCCTCGGGCTATTGGACGCTCTGTGCTTGGTCGTTCGACCAAAGGCATTGATGCCTTCGCTGGTGAGCGGTCACCCTTCGCTGCACCGACACTGCCGGAATCAGCCTTTTGGCTACAGAGATTCCTACAGGCTGATGACACATGCAGCCGAATTCAAGAAAGCGGAGGCGCCCCACGAACATGATAAAACGCTCCTGCATGCAAACGCATGAGCGCAAACGCCTGAGGAGAAATCTTTGGCACCGTTTTGGTGCTTCCTGCTCAAGCTGTTGCTGCCCGGCCCTCCTTGTCAGGGCGGGCTTGTAATGCCTCCAGAGGTCACGTCACGCCTGCTCTGGACTTGTAAGCACGCGCACACACACGCTGGCAACATTTACCCGTGCACTTCATCCAACTGCGGCCAAGCTTCCGGTAGCATCACCACTGGCTTGTGATTTGGCTTTCCTGGCCCAGGCTCCTTTCTTAAAACTGTGTTCGCCTCATACAGAAAAGGCCCCTCAACAAATAAGGGGCTAGGCCAGTTTGCGGTTCACAAACCTGAGCAAGGGCTACCCCACGGGCAACACATCTTGCAGGCAACACAGCTAGCAGGGGTAAAGTAGGGAATCCCCTGGTTCTGATAGAACATGTTGGCGGGACTTCTCCATGTCCCTCCCAATTGACTGGACATGTTGACCAAAACTGCTCCCCGTGGCTCCCTTGCTTCAGTTGGCCTTGGAGAGATCAACAAATTGGAATCATCCTTAGTTTGAGGCAGACCTATTTGTTCGTTTGTATGTCTTTCTCGCTCGAGCAGCTCCCCAATCTCTCTGACTGTTGGTTCTACTAACATAGCCAGAAAGTGTTTTGTTTGTTTAATGCTTTGCGACCCCAACAAAACCAAGTACTAGAACCATCCACCTAGAAATGCCAAACTTGGGATTGCCCACCCGCCCACCCACCCACTGACCCACCCAACCAGCCAGCAACCCAGCCAGCCACCCACCTCGCTGCATGACTTCCAGCGCGGCGAGGGCCGGGGGCTGCCGCAGCTGAGCGTAGTCCATCGCCGAGCGCCCGCTGTCGTCCCGGTGGTTGACCTCCGCACCGTGCCACAGGAAGAGCTCCTTAGAGCCACCGGTGAACTCAAAATTGATTGGGTCAAAGTTGGGTGAAAGTACAGGGGTCATTATTTTGATGGTGTCTGGGGGTTATCAACGTCAGAACATGGGGTTGTTTCCCTATAACCTACCAGTTAGGGGGTGACTTTGATCATGGTAAAATAATGAGGCCAGAAGTAGGTGGCACATTCCGCCCCTCCTCCCAGTTTGGCTTATATAGTCCCCTTCACTTTCCGGTTCCCCCACCTACAAATTAAGATGGATCCCCGAAAAATATCATAGCGGAATCTTTGTTGGGGACCTTCTTGATTTCCTTCTTCATGTGGGTGTGCCTTAGAATAGGATTTGGCCCCCCCAAAATGGCGTTGCTGTTTCCCCTGGATAGCCTCAAGAAAGACACCGCCATTTTTGGACTACCCCAATGCAAACGATCATCTGGGTATGAATTTGACTGGGGAACTCCCCCGAACCCCTTAAAAGTGGTTAGTGGACATAAATCCCCGCGTAAATCTCAAAGGGTCCCCAATTCAGAGTCGTACCACTTGTCTCCCCAAGGGCAAAGGGAAAATCAGGGCTTGTCCCCTGAAAAAGCTGAACAAAAGGCTTGGCTAATATGTCTTCCGCACTCGCCTTGCTGGCCCAGGCACGCACAGGTCAGCACGGTCCTTAGCTCGTTAAGATTCTGAACGCTACATGCGCCATGCTTCAAGCCGTGAAGAGGCATCACCAGCCGAAGCGCGTGCTTCGCTAGCCAAACAACAAAGAAACAAAACACACAACTCCCTGCCCCCCCCCCCCCCCTTACCAGCCGAAGCGCGTGCTTCGCTGCCCAGTGTAGCAGTGTGAAGCCACGTGCCCAGCACATCTTCTCCCATCCAATTTGATCAATTTGCTTCATCACACCTGGGTGAGCGGACAGGGGTTGTGGCATACTTGGGTGTGTCTTTTCTTGATGGTACCCTTTGGTGGTTTTAAAGGAGAACAAGGGAAAACAACCAGTTTTGAGGGTCTCCTTGAGACAACCCAAGGCTCAAGCCTTGACTCCTTTGCAAGCTGGGCACGGATATATGCCTCTGGTATTCCACCAGAGTCCGTAGGGCTCGGTGCAAGATTCGACCTGCAAACGGCCAAGGAATGGCGAATTCAGCCGCAAGTTTCTGACGGCCTGCTGAGCTCACTTCGGGACACCGGCTCCTGCGGCAAAAACCGGCAAGATTGGACGCCCTCATGCCACACCACTCAAAACTCAAAGCACACAGTCCTGGGGAAACATACCAGTCGTCCTGACGACTTTTGGTTCATGAACCAAAAAAAACAGGGTTGTGAGTGTCAAACAAGGGGATCCCATTGAGGAATATCCTCAATTGTTGAGCACGGAAGGGTACCTGCAGCCAAGTTTCGGCTCTGCGGGGAACGGGGATCCAAGCCCCATGAGCTCCCGCAATGCCATCTCAGCGTCCCTGCTGTTGGTGTCCATGGCACATTTTAGTGCCGTTCGCCTGAGCCGGGGCTTCTTACAGCATCCGGAACGTGACCCCATTCAAAACCTGCGGCTTCCTGGTGGCCTGGCAGAAACGGCAAGCCTTGAAATCGCCAAACGAAGCTTTCAAGTGCCCATCATCATAGTGAAAGCAATCCTGATCAAGGGAAGTCCTTGAGTGGGTTTTTGTTCGCCCTCCATGCGCTTGCTCTGCCATGTCTCCCTGGGTGAAGTTCCAGAGGGGGTTGCCACAAGTTGATACAATGTGCCCTTCAAGTGAGTACCAGTTTGTGTCTATCGCATGTGCTGACAAGAACGAGTACTTGTCACAAATGTCGCGAGTGGGCATGAACTCGCAGCTTGCAATGAACGCATCAGGTGCTCAGCCGGCAGGCAGGAGAACTCCAAATGGGCGTGTGTTTCTTGGGAACACCTGTTCCTTTCTTGCTTGTTTGGTTTTTCCGCCGCCCCCGCCCCCACCCCGCCGAAGAAAAAAAAAGGTGGGGGGGGGACCTAACCAACGAAGCATGAATGGGAACATCAATCTCAATCTGCAACACCGACCAAATCTAGCTTCAGCTTGTGGGTATGTGTGTGGGAATTTGAGTTTCCGTGCAAGGTGGGTTTACGGTTGGCTTGGTACGGGTTTGGTCGGTTTAAGGCTGACTTTGGGTGGGTGTAGGGTGGCTTTGCAAAGGCACAAGCGAAGTCTGGAATGGGTGGGATTCCTCATCCCAATCCGTACTCCACAGTGAGACATTATAACAAGGGAAATCTGGAATGATGATGTTGGATTGATTTGGAACAACTCATATTATTCTGATTCAAAGTCGTAGCAAGCATTTGCAGCTTAACAGCGTCTATTAGTGGCTTTTAGGGCCATTCTGAAGGGACCCCCAAAATGGGTGCTTTCCTGTTGGTTTCCTTTGAAAACCAACCAACCAGGGTTTTCCTGAAAAAGACACCCAAGTTCCCAAATGGACAAACATGTTCGAGGCTGGATCGGGACCTGTCTATCGAAACGTTGCTTCGGGCTTGCATCCAGGAACCCGCGGCTGTCGATGGCATTTGGGTCAGCATTCAGCGCTACGAAGTACCTGCGAATGCAAATGGGCAGTGACAGCAAATGGCGCAATTCGCGTTACCCTGCAAATGGGCCAATATATACCATTTTTGGGGCTGCTTTAAAAGGCAGCCAAAGGGAAACCACCAGTTTTGGGGTTCCAAATTGGAAGACACACGAACACGGAAACCAGGAAGCTCCAGTTACTGAGTCATTTCTCAATGGATACGCCCATGTCCCTCCCAAATGGACCATCGACTACTGACCTGTGCGAGTGAAATGGGGCAGTGAGAAGAGTTTTGCCACGGGAGGTTTACGAGCCAGAAGATCTTGTGTCAACTTGAAACAAGCCAACGCCTGCAGAAATCTGCGAGGTTGCGCTCTGCCGCCCAGTGCAGCAGTGTGAAGCCCTCTATCCACTTCACCGCGTGCCAGCCTGCGCGCAAGTGGCAAGTCAAAACGTTGCGAAGCGCGGAATCAAGCCTCTCTCCTCGACCACCTTGATGACATCCTGAGCCCAATGCAAGACAAAGTGGCCTGTTCAGCAAATACCGACAGGCTCCAAGCAGAAAACTTCGGACCAAATCGAAAAGACACACACTTCAGCTTGAATCCCAGCGGCTGCATACGCATCCGGAATGCTGGCACCGGAAGGCCGCACATGAATGGGCTCCTGACTGTATGAATCGTCTCCACCCACTGCATTGCATGACCTTCACATGCCTCACATGCTAGTGCAGCTCCTGTGGGTTGATGTCTGAGCCGCGCTCGCGCAAATACAAAGCCAGCGCATCATTGCCAGCACGCTCCGCATAGAACAACGGCGTGCGGCCTTGGTCATCGCGCTGGTTCAGTAGATCTTCCGCTGGGTAGCGCAGAAGGAACTCGACCACGTCCCGCCTGCTTGCAATCCACGTCCCCTTCGCCCCACCTTTGCCCTTGTCGCGCCTTCCATGCGCGGCTGCCCAATGCAATGGATATTTCTCTTCCTTTCCATCTTCGGGAAGGATGATGCCGCTAGCTGTAGCCAGCGCCTGGCATTCCAAAAGCAAACGCTTTCATGGAGGAAGGTGTCTGCTGGCTTCCATCTGCGGCATGCTTTGTATGGCGTGTGCGTTTTTTGCCCGAAGGGATTTCGCAATGACAATTCCGCTACTGACACGGACCGACCGAAACAAACGGACACCATCGCCGCCCCGCGCGAAGGGTTCGAAGGTTCGAACGCCTTGACCACCGCCCAGGGCACGTCGTCCAGCACCGCATGGGCGCGGAGCAGCGCAACGTCCTGGGAGATCAGCTGGGCATCCAGCTCCAGGCGCTCGGCCACGAGCCTCAGTGCCAAGAGCACGCCGGCCTTCTGGCAACGCCTCTCGTTTTATGGCGACTGTTGTGAGGTACCGGTACTGCTCACGCCCCGTGGAGACCACAAGTCCGGCTATTGCGACTTTTGAGTCAAGTTGCTGATCCTCATCTGAGCCTGGCAACTCTGAATGACCATGATTCCCTTCAAGGAACCCTTCGCAACCCCGAGAAGTGCAGCTCGTGCCTTCGGTGGTGCCCTCGTTGAGACGTATGGCGTCCTTCACCTGCTCCTGGATACCCTCCAGCTCTTGGGCCAAACCTCGACTGAGTGATGCACCGAAAGGTACTGTAGTTCAGGGCTCGAGTGGGTGGTTGAAGCTTCACTCTCGGGCTTTTCGAGTTCTTGGATTAGATTCAATTTTTCATTTCACGTCATTTTCTGATTGCAAGCTGCGCGCCCAAAAGCAGCCTGTCATGCTACAGACAAGCCACGCCATCTCCTGGTAGAAAGGCGCTGCATCATTGTCTGCATCATGGCCTGGTGGGGCACTGCATGGCTAGCGGGTGCAAAAGCTTGCCTGCCTCCCCAGCGTCTGCAGCTGTAGGCTCAAACCTCGCCAATTTTTGGGCTCAGATGGAACCTGGGAAAGCGGCCCTCAAAGAGGGCCGCCTCAAGTGAAAATTGTTTGTATCTCAGGGTTCGATTCTACTGTGCCGGAGGCTGTAGGGGCGCCCCCCCCCCAAAAAAAACAACAACAACGTGCTTTTCCGGTGGCTTCTCTCACAAAAAGGTGCCGAGCCACCAAAACACCTACGCCCACACGATGAGCTTCCTTCTGTGGGGCGAAGCTTAAGTGAGAAAGATAGGGACCCCCGTCGCACCCCACCACTCTGGCGGCATTATTTCTCCACCATCAAACTCACCCCCTACAGGTGAAAGCCAACCACCCCCTTTCGACTTTAAGCCCCGGAAGCCGTGCATAGAATCCCCAGCGCCACTTAGTCGCGCGGTCCAAGCGGCATGCGGCCCCTCTGCTGCAGCAACCGCGAGATCTCCAGCTCGATGGTGGCGTGATGGAGGTCCCCGGCCCGGCGCAGCACTGCGACCACACGCCGCCGCGCATCGCGGGCCTGGCGAGGCGCTTTCTTCCTCGAAATAGGACCAAAAGATCACCCCTACCTGAAGGGAGGGGTGGGGGTCCTCCAATTCACATTTTTTCAAGGGGGAGACCAACAGCCCAAAGCCAAAACAAACCAGAACAAACTAAGCCAAACCAATCTCAAATGAACACATGTGGTATCATGATTGAGCAAAAAGGGAGGTCCGAGTCCATTTTTTGAGACCATGGGAAACTGGTGTGTCGATTTTTTCGGAGACCCCAGTTTTGGCACAAACCAGCCACATTTGTTGGCCGCCCTAATTGATTTGAAACAAACATGTTTCGGCACACGTGCAACACCCATGGAGACAAGCTCCTTCTCCTGAAAATGGCTCCGTGGCCCATTGAGCTGATTCGTATCCTGGAGCTTTGGCTTGGCATTGAGCTTGCCCCAGAAATCCTGAGCTGTGGTGAACTGAGCCCGAAAAACAGCCAGAAAAACGGACACCCCAAAAGAAACTCCCCCATGCCCCAGGTGGAGATGTTTTGTCGCATTCCCACGGATCGGCGCATCGCAGCTTCTTGGCAAGCTTCCTGCAGCTTCTCCCGCAGCGCGGATTCGCTTTGCGCCGCCTCCTCCAGCCTGGCCTCGGACTTCGCCTCGAGGTGTTGGAACTTCGATTGCAGATTCTGCCCGAAGCTTGCATGCTCATCTCGTTGGGCTGTTGCTTCCGCGAGCTCCTGTCGCAAGCCCGCAACTCCCGCGGAGCTCTGCAGGAGTTGCCGTTCTGCCGAGTCTTTGGCCACCCGCTCATCCGCAAGCAGCCGCTCTTGCTTCTGCAAAGCGATTCTCAAGGCAGCTTCATTGGCCCGGTGGGTCTCTGAGGTAGCCAAAGCACCCATCAATACAGCTTCTTTCTTTGCCAGGGATGACTTCAAGTCTGCTTCTAGTCCTTGCAGAGATTCTCCTTCTCTGCGTGCACTTGCAAGCTCGCCCTGTGCCTTTGTGAGACCTTGGTTATGCAGAAGTGGTACGACAAAACAACTCAATCAACCCTAAAGCTTACCCCAGCGCAAAAGTAGATCGCGCAGTTCCTCTGTGAGTAAGTGACTCAACCAAAATGGTTGGGGGGATTTGTGCAATCTACTTCGCCCAACTGTATCTGCCTAAATACCCGCAATGCGAACTAGCATCGGACTTCCTGCTGAGCACAACGTTCGTAGAAGCTTTCTACCCTCGTCTCTGCGCCGGCCAGTTCCTTGGAGACTTCTGCTAGTTTGGACTGTGCTTTCTGGCCGTCTCGTTGGAGGCATGAGACCTGGTCTTGCTTCTCCTGACAGGCACTGTGCAGCATACAGCTTCCAAAATATCCTCAAATTTCCGAACCTCATGCACATCAAAAGTCAGAAGGGCAGTCCTGGGCTTCTTTCACTCGCACCGCCAGCTCCCTCTTGACATCATCCAGGGACTGCTTGAGGTCAGATGCCACATCCTGCTGCGCCTTCGTAAGCCACCACTATCTGCTTTTGTGACAGGATCAATGCTCAAAGCAAAGCAAAGAGAAATTGCAACACCACAATTCCATCAAGATCAATTGGGAAACTCCTGTCAAACTGGACCTAAAGCACCCCAAGCGGCTTTTAGTAAGGAAAACTACTTTTGGACGTTTTTCCGGACCGCTCCTTCCCCTTACTTCGTCCCCCCGTCCCCTCCGCTTTGGCCACCGAAGGTCCAACCGCTCGCCTTGGCGCCGCTTTGGGCCATCGACAGCTCCGCCTCACTGCGCTGGAGGCGCTGCTGCAGCTCCGCCTCCTGCCGACTCTTCGCCTGGCCTCAGCGGAGGAAGGCGACGAAAGCGACGAAGGCGCGAGGCGCGGCCCAGGTTTGGGGCGGAAGCTCCGAAACGGTGAATGTGTGTGTCTTTGTTTTTTTGGATGCCCTCTTTGGCTAGTTTGAAAGGGAGGCCAAAAGGAAAATCTGGCAATCTTGGCGGTCGGCGGTCCCCTGTAAAGAGACATCCAAGAGACTCCTTACTTCTGGTTGGAAATCTTGATTGGGAGGTTTATGACCATCCTTACCAACAAACAAAAGGAATTGAGCATGACACAGATGTGGCAGCTTACCTGGACGAGCAACTTCCTTTTGAACAAACCTCTTCGGAGCCATGTCAGGGGAAGGGGGGAGGGGCGGAGAAGAGGTCGAAGAGGAAGAAGCTTAAAGCATGAGGTTCTCCAAGGTGCAGAAAAAAAACATGATCGGCAAATGGGAGATGCTTGCGGTTGAGTCAAGCGCAAGCGTGGAAGCAGATCCGTCTCTGCCCAAGAAAGCGTTGCACAGTTCAGCGCGCCAGGCCACAGCTCAAATGCATCTCTGCCACCTCTCCTTGCAGCTCTGCAACTTGGTCCTGCAGAAGCATGCCAGCATAGCAGCGTGCGCTTTCTTGGGGCCCGTTTTTATGCTCGGTGTTCCCCACTTTTGACACATACCGTCAAAACACCCTTTGACTTCGGGGGTCGGATCCCGTAGGAACTTCGGAGCACCAACGAAAGGTCTCCTGGAAAAAGGGACCCTTGGAGGCCACCCTGGCCCTCTAGGACATGTTCGATGAGCCTCAAGCTGCAACCCGCCTGCAGCTGGCTCTTGGACTTGTGGTGGTGCTCGCCGGTCTCCGTGGCTGCGGCCAGCTCAGATTTCAGCTGCTCCTGAGAGTTGTTTTCAACTGACCTGGACATGGGATGCTGGCTTCCGAAACGCACCAAAAGGCCCCCAAAGGTTTTGAGACAGACCCGCATCAAGGGTAACTTGTCCTTTCATTCAGATCCCCCTACAAGCAGATTGGTGCGCACAAATGCTCGAGAGAGCAGTGGGAGCAGGGACAGATTCAAATGCCTCTTCTCTCTCTCTCTCTCAACTTGGATGTGTATTCTTCATTGAGGGTGCCCTTCTCTGGTCAGGTTAAAGGGAACCAACTGGAAAAACCTGAAATACTGTGGTGGTGCAGGATTTCGTCCATCCACAGTATGTATTTCCATTTGGGGAACCCCTTTACCGGCCGAGGCGCGTAGCCTTCCTCCAGCCTGGCGTGGGCTGCGCTTTGGTCCTCGTTGGTGGACAAAGCCGCTGCCAGGGACGCGTCCACCATGGCCAGCTGCTGCTGCAAGTCGCATTCCTCACGCACATGAACTCATAAACCGGAAACAAGGAATTTCCGCAGGAAATCTCCAACCAACAGGGATCCTTACATTATACACCTGAACATTGCCTTGTAAATGGTGGTATCCCCTTATTTTGGTGAAAAAAACATGTTTCAAATGGGCAAAATGTATCTTTTAAGGAGCCCTGACAAACTCCCCAAGATAAGGGAACCATGAGTATGATGGGGAATCCCCAAGTAAAGGGCCTTTATCGTGCTTCTGTTGCTAGAAACCCTCAAGTAAAGGACCTTCATGGCCGGTTTTCCGCTACCCCCGAACGACAAGTTCGCGAACTCCTCGGAGTATTGCCGCTGCACCTCCGCTTCCGCCTCCATGAGCTTGGCACGGGAGGACTCCTTGGTCCCAACCCAAGGCCCAAGGGAGGACGACTTTGCCAAAAATTCAGCCTGGCAAACTCACCATGGGCCGTGCGCGCAACTTTCTCTTTCGCAGGTGTTTGCGCGTGGGCTTCGTGATTCCCTCAAAAAAAAACAAAAAGTCCCGGAACCCCACCCAAAGAAAAAAAAGTCCCCTCCCCCCCAAAAAAATGAAGAAAAGACAGACCTGCTTTCCCCGTGCGCGCCGGGCGTCCAGGTCGCAGCTGACCAGCTTGGCCTTCTGCTCCTGGGAGGTGATCTCCCAGCGCGCGGTGGCCAGCTCCGAGGTGGCCTCCGTGAGCCTCTCCTCCAGGCGGCTGGCCACAGACCTGAGCCAAGCCAACCGAAAAACCCGACGACCCGACGCGGGTGGATGGGAGGTGAAGAAAGACGTCCTCCCAAAAAAACGAAACAACCTGCATATACATATATATATATATATATTATTACGGTATATTGTATTATAAGAAAGACAGGGTTCCATTTTAAGAAGCCCTCGACATGCTCACTTCAAGAGACATGGTTGCAGGTAGAACCACGTAAAGCGGATGAGAACTTTGGGCACTGGACTGAGGGACATCCTGGCCGAGGACCCTTTGGAACCGAAAAGCCTGAAAATCCTGGACACAGAACAGGCGCGCAAGTGAGATTTTCTCCACCACATGTTTCCCCAAATTGGAGAAAAGCTGATGCTTCAGGACTTGCCCAGTTCAAACCGCCCGCCAGCGGCCATGGGACAGTTTTTGGTGGTAGCTGGTAGCTGATTTCGAAGCGGGGCCCCACTTCTTGGAACCTAATGGACCCTTCTAATTTCTCTGGCCACAGGCCACAGTCCACGAGGAAAGAATAAGCCGGGGTCTCAGGGGGTCACGAAAGACTGCGGAAGAAACAAGGAGCCAACGAAGTCCCAAGAAATGAGCAAGGGTCTTGGGATCTGCCACAAGCGATGGTTAGAGGCTCATTCCCTCGAGGGAAGCCGAATCCTGGCCCATTTTAGTGAGACATCCTGAATTTTTCCCCAGTGACCCGGTCATTTTGAGAACACCTCAACATCATCCACCCTATTGCCGATGGCGAATCCGCCGATGAGTATTCCAAGCGAGTGTCTCCTGCATCTTCACTTCGGACTTGGACTGGGAGACCAAGTCCTCGCGCTCGCCCAGCTGGCTGCGCAGCTGGGCTTCCATGTGCTCCAGGGTGCGGTAGGAGGTGTTCACCACGCTCAGCTCGTCCTCGGAGCTGGTCAGCTGCAAGCGGAGCTCTGAGGCCAACTTCTCCCTCTGCCCGCAATCGGCCCGCAGAGTCTCCAAATCCTCCTGGGCGCGACACTCACTGTAACTTCTGGCCGACTGGTTGAAAATTCGAGGGCCTTGCTATGATTTCAATTCTGCTAGAACCAGGTACCATCTGGTGGAAATATGTTTATACAAGCCTCGTATGGTACTATGTCTGGTTTTTTTTGCGGGTCGTTTCCTAAGCGCCAGGTAGGGCCTGCAAAACTGGCGCATGCCAATGGTTTGGGCGCTCCTGCAGCCGTGTCCTGAGAGACTCCTGGGCCACCAGGTCGGTGCGACTCTGCGAGAGGTCGGTCTCGAAGCTGTTCAAGGAACCCTGGAGCCTGTGGCTGGCAAAAAAGAATACGCCCCTCCCCGCACCCCCCCCAAAAAAAATGACCTAGAACCCAAAGAAGGGGGTTCCTCACAAGACCTCCAAAAATGCTGGGTTTTGGGGTTCCGTATTCATCGGAGGGGCCAAGAGGAAGCTTGCACAGTTGGTTCAGAATCATGTTGTTCAGGTATTTCTGCTAAACAAGGCCATTTAAGCAAGGGGCATGCAAGCTTGAGGCCAATTTTTGAGCGGTTTACCTTCCCCCCCCCCAAACAAAAAAAAGCAAGAAAGAAAAAGACACGCGGCGGCGTTTTCGCCGGTTTTCCTGAGCTTGGGTTTCGGTATGGCGCCTGGCGATGAGCTCCTGCTGCATCCCTTCTGTGAGGCTCACGGCCTCCAGCCGGGCCTTCGCCTCGGATTCGCGGGGAACCAGGCAATGGCGGCCGGTTCCCCACTTCAAGGGCCTTTTTTTCCACCAAGGTAGCGGGGAGGGGGGCAAAAAAAAGCAGATGCCCTGAATTGAATTCTTGTTTTTTTGGATTTTGGTGGGGAAGGGGAGGGGGAAAGGCAGATGCCCTGAATTCTCGTTCGTGGGATTTTGGCTCGGGCCTCAAAGAGCTGCTTCTGCAGCTCCGCCTCCGTGGAGATCTGCATCTCCTGGGAGGTGTCCCGTGCCGCCATCTCCACCTCGTGGCAGCACCCGTACCCCCAAATCACACCACCGATGTGGGGGGAACCGAAAACCAACGTGATTTTTTTGTTGTTGGGTTTTTTGTATTGTTTGTTGTTGTTGTTGTTGTTTTTTTTTTGGGGGGGGGGGTTGTTTTTTTAACAGGGGAATTCAATCATTCCTTTGCTAGGTGCAGGATTTCGTCCATCCACAGTATTCACGGCTTTGTGGCTTGGTCCGAAGTCCCAAAGTAATCGAACCCGCTAATTTGGGAGCACCCACATGCCGGGACCCCCACTTACAATTGCAAACCCGGTCTAAACAACACGCAAATGAGCCCCACACTAGAATTCTTACGCCCCCGCGACAACATAGGAAAATTGGATGGGTAGTAAATACCAAGAGCCTTGTCAGCTGCCCAAATCCTGATGAACCCGTTCCAACCTTTCCAAAACTAGGGGACCACTTTTTGGATTGCTTTCAAAGGGAAGGCAAACCATTTTTGCGGCTCCCCTTCGAAACGCCCAACAGCCTCTAAATCAGCTATGGTGATGTTTTAACTAGCCGCTTGGAACCCTGCGGTTCCAAAGTCATACTCAACAACCTGGTACAAAAATAAATCATCTAAAGCCATGAGTCAAAAAGGCGGCAGCACCTATTAATAGCTGGGATTCCCCCTTACCCTCCAATTACCCGGGGTTTGATTACAGTGGTTTGGCTCTGCTAAGCATGGCTCGCCGCACCTTCAGCAGCGCGATCTGATCCTGCAGCGCGTGCACACGCCTCTGGTCCTCGTCGGAGCTGAGGCGATTGGTCGCCAGCTCCTCCTCGAGCCGGCCCACCTGAGTCACAAGGCGTGTGGTTGACGGTATCAGTTTGCCCACAAATCAACATGGAAAACACACCAAACAAAACTAGAGGAACATGCTTTTTGGTGATCCTTTTTGGGCATACTGTCTTTTTGGTGATCCTTTTTGGGCATACTGTCTTTTTGGTGATCCTTTTTGGGCATACTTTCTGGGGAGTCTCATTTTCGTGGTTGCCGTCAGGGGCAACCGAATTACACGGGCCACACAAATTGGAGGGTCCCAGAAAATTTAAGACATACCCAAAGCCTGGTGCCGAAACGGACCCAAACCCACAGAAGCAAAGGGCGGATCTGCGCACGGTTTTGACTCTCCGCCTCCTGCTCCAAGGCCTTCCCTGCATCCTCCAACTTCTGGCCCCGCCCATCCGACTCCTGGCGGTTCGCAAGGCCCTTGAAACCACGGCCTTTGGGGCTTCAGTCACCTTAAGGCGTGGACCAAAAAACCAACGGCTTGAACCACCTCAACTCTGAAAAAAATCCACCACCTTACAGGGGGGCCGAGGGCTGGTGGTTGGCATTTGTTGGTTTCAACCCGAGCCTCCAGGGCACTCTTCAGGTTGGCCGCCTTCGCATGGAGCTCCACCTGCCGGTGGCTTTCACCGGGTTCAAACCAACGAAAAGGCAGCACAGAGGTGCGAAATGGTAGGTGTGGATCCACCCCAAACCCACTGTACAGCACCAGGACCAGGTGCCAGGATCCCGCGGATTCGCTTTGACCAGCCTGATGTGTGCGGAAACTTGCCTGGAAGTTTGGTGCAAGGACTTTATTGAGAGAATGACCGCGGCCGATGCTTGACCACAGATATGAGCCACACACACCATGACTTGCAGTTGCTTCAATTGGGGGTTGGCAAGTTGGCATGTTCACTGGGGGTACGGGACTTTGACCCATGGCCACATGAACAGACTCAACAGAACACCCGTCTCGTCCGCAACGCTCGTAGGTCCGGCCAAAGTGGCACCTCCATCTCGCTCTGGCGCTCAAGCGCATGCTGCAGACCCGCATGCTCCGCCTCGAGGCCCTGGGATTTGGGCCAAAACGAGGCGACTGCAACATGCCGCTCAAAGCCGTGGCTTAAACCCGGGGGGTTCGCAAGGTTGTTCAAAAACCGTGGTTGAAACAGGTTGCTGAAGCTATGTGGTAGTTTCAAACCTGGACGCATCAAGGGATAGTCCACAAAGTTGTGGAAACAGCGATGCTTCCATTGGGTCGGCCCTAGGGTTCTAAAAGTTGATCCCTTCCCCCCTGTTCAGGGGCCAAAGCTCTGCTTGCCGCAAATTTGAAACCAATCCTGTACAAATCTTGCTCCAAGAAAAGGGAGCCCTGAACTTTGGATGACACATTATAGATCCCTTAAAAACATCAAGGGAGGCGCATGGGCCAAATGGTGATGCTTACCCTCCAAACCATGGAAGCTGAACGGAGGGGTTTAGAAACACGTCGAACTCCATGATTGGTTGGAAAAAAGGGAAAACTACACAAAAGGGAAAATATGGAAACGGTGACGTTTAACCACCCAAAAGCGACATGTATAAAAGGTGATGCTTATTCCAAACCGCCCAATGTCTTCAGGTTTCCTTTCGGCATCCTTTGAACCTGGGTGCCAACTCAAAACAAAGCAGACCCGGCCAAAAAAACGAAAACCACCAAAAAACACAACCAGGGGATGCGTTTCCCACCCAAAAAAGGGAAAGAACGCCAGGGAGCCCGGAGCGGTCCCCGCCTGCAGCTGCGCTTTGAGCGCCTTGGCCATCTCCGCCGCCTCCGCCTCCGCCAGCGCCTCCGTCTCCAGGGCGCACTGCCGGGAGCCCACCTCAAAACAGAAACGCGGGGGGGGGGGGGGGGGAACCGCAAAACCACACCAATATGTTTCGGTACTTCAGGGTGTCCTTTAATTAACATGTGTCTTCTACTTGCATGTGGTTCATCATTCATTGTCCAAGTAAAATCATCACAGGTCCGGGATTTTTTCCCGAGCTGGAAGGTTTAACAGGAACACCGTTCGCGTTGTTCTGTTGTTGTTTTTTCCCTTCGGGAAGCCCTTGCTTTCTCCCATGAAGACAGCCCAAACGAACGGTAGACTCGGAAAAAAATGCCACGCCCAGAGTTGGTATGGCGCCCCAATCTTGACGCGCAAGAGGCACAATCTCCAAACTGAGGGTTCAGGAGCCTACCAATAATGGTGGGAATCAGAATCGCAGATATCCGCAACTAGTTCTAGCTGGGACTGTCCCTGCCAACTCCATCCAAGTTGTGATTGTGGCTCCAAGTGGGCGTCCCTCGATAATCTTCATTGCTTAAACTAAAAACTTGAGTCTGCGGGCTCCACGTCTTAAAGATGCAGCAACATGGCGGCCCGCAAACTCAGAGACAGGGAGAGTTTGCACAATGTTGTCCATCAAATGAAGCGGATGTTCTCTCAGCGCACATCCCTCAATCCGGGTATGAGTTGCAATTGGGAACCATTTGGGTGTTATCATGTGTATGTCTTGATCCATCTAAATATGTGAAAATGTATATTCGTATTATATATGTGAATTTAGATATACATACACAGAGAGAGAAAGATATGCAAGTTTAGTTAAAGATGAATGTTATTCCCATATATATATATATGTATAAATACATATATCCACCAAGCATCTGGATCGAAATGCTTCGCACTCCACCTGCATCGCCCTTGTGCGTCTTTCAGGGCGCCTTCCCTCCCCGCACTCGCGTGCGCACCTCGCTCTCCAGCGCGAGCACCTGGTGCTGCAGCGCGGCGATGGCCAGCTGGTCGCTGGCACGGGCGCCCTTGGACTCCGCGACCTCGGGTTCGATGCCCCCGAAGCCGTCCAGGCTGTGGGGGGACGGATCCCCGAAACTTGGAGCACTCACCAGCCCGCAGAGGAGGGTCAGAATCCCATACCCAGCGGGAAAAAACACACACAGAAAGGAACTCGGGTGGAATCTACACCCCCCCCTCCCCCCCCTCCCGCCCCTCCCCCCCTCCTCCCCCCGCCTCCTCCTCCAGCTGCTGCACTTTGTGGCGCAGGGAGGTCTCCAAGGTCCCCAGGTCAACTGCACGGCTGTGCGCCTCCTCGCAGGCCTTCCAGGGACTTTTTCTCGCCAGGAATCAAGGCTCTGCCCTGCTATGAGGGTTCCCTTTTTGGGTCGAAACCCAGCAGGAAACCCCTGGTGAACATCAAAATAGGTGGCAAATGGCTGTTCATCCACCTCAAAATGGAGCCATAGGTTACGCCCCATGGCCATATGTTTTCTAGGGAAACCAAAAGTCAGACCACCGTCTTGAGCCTCGCTTGATTGAAGTTTCTCTTCGGGGCCTCAGTCGAAAGAATCCAAAGGACAGCAAAGGGAGGCCCTGAAAGGAGGGGCCTGGTCGAAAGGGCTTGCAACCCTGACGCAACCTCTTTTTGTCGGGTTAATCCGCGCATCCGCGCATCCACGCCGCGCCTCCTGCAGGCTCCGGACTTGGACCTCCAGGTCCGAGTTGCTGCCCACCAAACCCTCGCAGCTCCGGCGGGAGATGAGCAGCTCCTCCTCCCAGGTCTCTTGCAGGGAAGCCTCCGCCTGAGACCAAGTTCCAACGCGAACCCTGGCGGAGAAAAACCAGAAAATGGACCCCCTCCCCAGAGAAAACCGGGGGTTCAACCACCCAACGGCTAAAGCAGCCGCGTGTCAATCCCTTGCAATCCATGGCTTGCTCCCCAAGCCCCAAACGGAGATTTCTCCACAATGATGGTCTGGTGGGTCCCATACTAATCTGCAGGAGTGTAAAACCACGTTTCCTTGGCTGCTTCAACAAAATAAATGAGGAAACCTTGCTTAAAGAGATCCAAGGAACCCCTTGGGGCCCGCCCAAAGCTTGGTTCCTTCAAGCGAGACCCGCAAAATGTTGGCTTTCCTTTGGACTTCAACCTGAACGGGGTATCCATGTTAGCCTCAAACCAAAACACACACACACACACACACACCAAAAAAACGAAGAAGGAAGCCGAAAAGTATCCCATGCCAGCCTCAAAACGCCTCCCCCGCTCCCGAACCCCAAACAAACAAAAGGAAGAAGCTGAAACTAGAGGACGATTGGCCCGAAAGCATTCTTCCACAGGCGCTCATCCAGCTGCGGAGACACCTTTTTACATCGCTGCGGCGAGCGTGTCTGCGCGCGGCGATGCTCAGTGTGTATGGTCACATGAGAGCTCCATCTCATCATCCGACTTTCCTCTCGAACTGCGCCGCGCGATTTCTCACGAAAGTGGTCTGCGCAAGCTGCATTGTTCCAGGCTGCTGCGCGCAAGTTGCTCTCTGCAAGCTGCTGCGCGCAAGTGCTCTGTGCAAGTTGCTCTGCGCAAGTGCTCTGAGCAAGTTGCTCTGCGCAAGTGCTCTGCGCAATTTGCTCCGCGCAAGCGCTTTGCGCATGTGCTCTGCGCAATTTGGTCTGTGCAAGTTGCTCTGCGCCTGCTCTGTGCAAGTTGCTCTGCACAGGTGCTCTGAGCAAGTTGCTCTGCGCAAGGGCTCTGCGCCAGTTGCTCCGTGCAAGCGCTTTGCGCATGTGCTCTGTGCAAGTTGGTCTGTGCAAGCTGCTCTGCGCAAGTGCTTTGTGCAATTGCTCTGTGCAAGTTGCTCTGCGCAAGTTGCTCTGCGCAAGTGACTCTGCGCAAGTTGCTCTGCGCAAGTGCTGCCGGAGCTGCGGGGGTGCGCTCCGCGTACTACGTTTGTACTTAAAAGTTGCGATTCTCCAGCCGGAGCTGCGGGGGTGTGCTCCGCGTACTACGTTTGTACTTAAAAGTTGCGATTTTCCAGCCTGAGCTGCGGGAGCACGCTCCGCATACTACGTCTGTACTTAAAAATTGCGATTTTCCACCCGGAGCTGCAGGAGCACGCTCCGCGTACTACGTTTGTACTTAAAAGTTGCGATTTTCAAGCCGGAGCTGCGGGGGTGTGCTCCGCGTACTACGTTTGCACTTAAAAGTTGCGATTTTCCAGCCTGAGCTGCGGGAGCACGCTCCGCACACTACGTCTGTACTTAAAAGTTACGATTTTCCAGCCGGAGCTGCAGGAGCACGCTCGGCGTACTACGTTTGTGCTTAAAAGCTGCGATTTTCAAGCCGGAGCTGCCGCGGACCAGGGGCCCGCGACCGCGGGATTGCGAAAGCAGGCGCGCAAACCACGAGACAACTTCCAAAGGCCGTTTCGCGAGCAAGAATATTGCACGGCGCCACACGCACAATCTCCGAGACTAAGACAAATTCGCACGGCGCCACAGCGAGAGCGCTTCGACGCGCACGATCTGTGCAGAGGGTCGCGCGCGCACCGCAGAAATCGTAAAAAGTCCTCAGTTTTTGAACCTCGACCACGCGAATCTCCGCAGAGGGTCGCGCGCGCACCGCAGAAATCGTAAAAAGTCCTCAGTTTTTGAACCTCGACCACGCGAATCTCCGCAGAGGGTCGCGCGCGCACCGCAGAAATCGTAAAAAGTCCTCAGTTTTTGAACCTCGACCACGCGAATCTCCGCAGAGGGTCGCGCGCGCATGCTAAAAATCGTAAAAAGTCCTCAGTTTTTGAACCTCGACCACGCGAATCTCCGCAGAGGGTCGCGCGCGCATGCAGAAATCGTAAAAAGTCCTCAGTTTTTGAACCTCGACCACGCGAATCTCCGCAGAGGGTCGCGCGCGCACCGCAGAAATCGTAAAAAGTCCTCAGTTTTTGAACCTCGACCACGCGAATCTCCGCAGAGGGTCGCGCGCGCAGCAGAAATCGTAAAAAGTCCTCAGTTTTGAACCTCGACCACGCGAATCTCCGCAGAGGGTCGCAATCCCGAGCGACGATCAAACTCCCGCCCCGGCGCCTTAGAAACCTAAACTAACTTACATAGCTGCTAACGCCGAAGCTCTAAGCTCTATGTAACTTGGCTCTATGTAACTTGGCTCTATGTAACTTGGCTCTATGTAACTTGGCTCTATGTAACTTGGCTCTATGTAACTTGGCTCTATGTAACTTGGCTCTATGTAACTTGGCTCTATGTAACTTGGCTCTATGTAACTTGTCCAAGGGCTCCGCGCGGAAGAACCCTTCGCGATGCTTTCGGGAAAAAAACGCCTCCCTCCTTACCCCCCGCCCCCCTCCCCCGCCTTCGCCAGGCCCTGCAACCTTTGCTCTGCCTCCTGTGCCGCGGCCTCCTCCAGCTGCAGCGCCATCTGCAGCTGCGCCTGCAGTCCTTCGGCCTGGGCCTCCTCGCTCCTCCGGCGCTCCTGGCGATCGACCCACTCGTGGCGATCCACTCCGCGGCCCGGGGGTTTTCCGGGTGTTCCAAGGAACCCCTCGCGTTTAGGTCCACATTAGGGATCGGCATTAATTAGGCTTGAAAAGAAGGTCAAACTTGAAACCTTGTTTCACCAGGAGGGGTTGGAGCTGCACTCCTGTTGTGCCTTAGCCCTTTTCCGGGTCTCATTCAGCGTGCTTTCGCGCTCCTTGAGCTCCTGTCAGGGTGGACCCAAGTTGAAACCTGGTCAAAACGGCGTTGTTATATAACATCCTTGATTAAATCATGTGGAACCCCCTGACTTAAGCCACCAACATTTGGTGTAAACCACCTCCTTTGGTTTTGAAGAACTTCTAGCTTCCCTTCGTTAAAAAACACACACACACACACACACACACACACACACACACACACACACACACACACACACACACGTGGGCAGGTCACCCACTCTCCTGCTTCAGGGCGGCCATCTTCATTTGGCTGGCCTCCTCTCGGCTTTTGGTCCGTGAGAGGTCCAGCTGCAGGTCAGCCACCGCCTGATCTAAGTCCTTGTTCAAGGACTCGCTGCTCTGGATCTTGTGCTTCGCCTCAACGAAACAGGCAAGTCCCATTCCCACTTCGCCGCCCAAAAGTGGGCTTTCCCCCCCCCAGAAATAGAGTTGAAGAGTAGTTTTTTGTCTGCACATTGGAATGGCTCTCCCGGTGTGATCCGGGACAGTCAAAGAAAAGCCTTCAAAGGGGTTCACAGCCACCTGCCTTGGACAGCACCGTGTCCTTTTGGGCAATCTGCTTCTTCAAACCAATCTCCCGACTGGCTTGCTCCTGGCCAAAAATGAGAAAAAGAAGCGGCAAAGCCATAATCGAAACTTTGTCACAGCCAAACCGGTGTCTGATCATAACGTCACAAAGTCACCCCAAAGTCCCCCCAAAGTCCCCCCAACCAGTTTCTAACTTTGAAGGGCCGTCCTCGAATTGCCTTCGGGTGGCCGCCAGCTCCCCCTCCAAGGTCATCATCTTCTGCTTCAGGTGGGCCGTCAGTCGCCGCTGATCCTGATCTCGGATCTCGGAGTCGTCACGACTCGGGTGTCGGTGCGGCTGTCCCGCAAGAAGGCCACACACTTAACCCCAAAACCAGGGCAAGTTTACGAAGTAGGGGGCTGCCTTGTCCCGTACTTGCAGGGCTTGGAGCATCAATCAACGTTCACCCCTCAAAGACAAACTCAAACACACAGAGTCTTTTTTGGGGGGATAGCAACCACCCTAATCAGAGAACGGAACCAGTGGCAATACCGGCAAAACTGGCATCTTCATTTCGTTAGCAGGGAATGCTGGCAGTCAAATTTCAATGCTCGGGTCAGTCCTCGCTGCTGGCACGCTCTGATTCCAATTCGCTCCGCAACCTGTCCATCGAGGTCTGAGCTTCTTCAAGCATACCCACGTCAGAGCTGTTCACTTCTGAGGATGGGAGCGTTGTCACAGAACTCTTCCTGAAGCATGCGGCATTGGCATCAGACATCAAAATGCCAAGCTAGGCTGCCCTTCCCACCCAAATGTAAAAACCGAGCCAAGCTGCATCTCGGCCATATGGTTCTGTTGCGCCGCAATGGTGTCTCGAGCTTGGCCCAGTGCGCTTTCCAGTTCCCCAACCCGGTGCTTCCATTTCACTTCGGACTCGTGGAAGTCCCTCCTCAAAACCATGTGCAGTATGGGCAAGGCAACAGCAAATCTTTACACTCTGCACCAACAGAAAACCCAAGGACATAGGACGCCGAGACGCTGCTCTTGCCTATGGGCATCAAGCTCTGCGTGCAACCTCAATAAAACACATGCGAGGCTGCGAGGCTAAAGCGAAAGACAACTCCAAGGAGATCTCCGGGGCCGGCACTTTGCCAGCTCATTTTTCAACTCCACGCCATGCTGCAGTTGTGCCTCCAAACGCGTTGAAAGTATCCCCAGCTCATTCTCCAACGCGTCCTGAGCTCCACGTGCCACGCTTGGCTTTCAAAGGCGGCGCATGCAGCCGAACTGCCCTCTCCGCGCGGGTCCGTGCACGGTCTTTCTCCAGATTCTCGATCTTGTCCTCCATGCCTTCGAAACGCGGGGAGCACAGCGAGCAGTATAATAATACTGATGATAATAACAATAAGAATAAAACAGCACAACTACCGCCATAAAGAGCCATCATGGTACTTGGCTGTTGCCCGGCCTTGCTGCTCCGCTTCTTGCTTCTGCAGCTCAGACTCCAAGTATCGGACTCTTCGGCTCAGCTTCTCTTGCTCCTCCTCCTGATTTCGATGGCCTCAGGGCAAACTGGCCAGTAATCCAAGGTTGCCATTCTGCTTCAGACACCCAGTGCCACTTATATGGCTCTGCATCTGAGACGTGCCTTCGAGTCGCACATGGCATGCAGGGGGCAAAGTAACGAACCCCGCCTGCAGTCATCTCCTGCAAGGCTGCTTCTTGCTGACTCTTCATCTTCGCCAGCTCTTCCTCCAGCTGCCTCTCACGAGTCTTGGCGGCCTGGGCGGCACAGGCTGACACAGGCGTACTTTGCACATACAAATACATATATATATATATATAGAGAAATATATATATGTATGCGCACAGGTATATATATATATATATATGTACGTGTGTGCACTTGAGAGAAGAGGGATCGAATGCTGGCACTTCTTGCCAGAAACGCTCATGTTGAGGCCCCCCTCCCTCGGTGAACCAGCAACGTCGAAAAGGCAACCTAAAGTGCGCCTGGCATGTAGGAAAAACAGCCAGCCCGGACAGGGCGGGAGCTAATAGCGCCCCGAAAATGTGAGGTAGATAGATGGATAAATAGCTGTGTATACATATAGATATATATATATATACACATTTATTTATTTATTTATTTATTTATTTATTTATTTATTTATTTATTTTTTTATTGATTGATTTATTTATTTATTTATTTATTTGTTTATTTATTTATGTTTATGTTGTACAGCTGCGTGTGCGTGTGCATCTATGCACCACCAGCACCATCAACTGCCGGGCTCCATGTTTGATCGTCCAAGTCGCGTCTGCCAAGTCTGCCTTCGCTTGGAGCAAGCGCCCATGGGCCTCCTGCAACAACAAGGGCCTCAAAGGCTTGTCCAAAACCCAACCACCAAGCCACAAAGGACCCGTGGCCATGTGGAAAGCCCTCCACGACTGGATTCCACAAAGCCGGTGGCTAATTCACCAACAACCCTGGGGTTCCTTCCCAGGCCAGGGGCTCATACCTTCAGCCTGCAACGCTCCTCGGCTAAACGCGCTCGCTCGTCAGACCGGCCAGCGGCTTCCTCAGCCTCCTTCACTCGCTGCGCCCACTCAGACCTGCGCGGTGCATGAGTCACGCGCCAAAGCTATACATCTTACATGTTCCCTAACAGCGGAGAGCCTAGGTCTACGGTATGCCAAAGGGACAACAGGCCATTGCCAGCAGATGCTCGCACCCTGTCCACGCATGCAGGACGCTTTAATCCCAGCCACTCGATCTTCACGATATGCTCCGCGTTGGCCCTGCTCTTCCGGTTCTGCAGCTCCCAGTGCCAGTTCGGAGCAATCAAGGGCTGGTGCCGGACGGTGGTGTACACGAAGGTTGGGTTCAGATGGGCCGGGTGTCTGAGAGTCGCCTCCGGTTCTTGGAACTGGACGCAGGGTTCTGCTTCAGGCTTCTGCTCAGCTTCCCAGCCTCCGTGTCACATGCCAAATCTGCCCAGGCACTGGCCGGGCCCCCCAAGAAAGACTTCAAGGGCACTTTGGCGCCTAAGAAGGATGTGCTCCCTTTTGATTTGGGTTAACCCCCTGTTTGAAAGTCAGAAAATCCAAACCTGGCGCCCGAATGCTGATGCAACTGTGGCCCCCGCAATGGTCAGAGAACGCCCTCACCTCATCGAGCTCCTGTTGCATTTGGTTCACCACGCCATCAATTCGCGCGAGCCTGGGTTGCTCGAATTCACCCAGAAACGGAAACAAGGGGCATCACCAAGCATGCGGCATGCGCTCTGCGGCTCGAATCGCTGAGCTCGAGGCGCAGGGGATGGCCTGGCTCCAGATCTCGCACACGTCTCCGACCTCGACCTTGAGGATGCGCTGCCTCGCGCGCCGACTCCCCCCGAGTTGCAACCTTAAGCCCTAAAATGCAAACAAGTGAAGTACCTCAAGAGAAGGTTGCCAACACGGACCCTACGTCTCCGTCATATCTCCCCAGCCCCCATCCTCCTCCGGCCTGGGGTGTCGCCCCTGGCCGGCCGCGGCGTGGGCGCGGAGCATTGGCCGCTGAGCACCTGGGTGGCTTCCGCAATGAGCTCCGAGGCCTTCACCTCACGAGACAGAACCGCGAGGCTTGAGGGAAATGGCCATGGGTCAAAAACCAAATCGTACCCCCAGTGAACATCCCAATCCCCACTAAAATAGACTAAAATGGGTGGTGCACCTACCCCAAAATGGTACCATTGGTTTTGACCCATAGAGGAACTCTAGGTGGCGGTCTGGTTTCCAAAACTATCCAACGTTTTGCATTTTTACGGTGTTTAGCCAACGTATGCATTGCTAGACATCTTGAAACCTCTTGGTCCAACACCTGCTGGCTCAGGAAATGACGGAATGACCCCTTTTTTTGAGGGATCCCCAGCATCATTCCCAAAACTATCGATCTCTTAATGAGAACCAGCAAGCCACCCGTATGCTGGCAGATGACACCCTCTTCGACCCCATGAGAAATGAACCGTGGCCTGTGACGATCGGGTCTTGGGTTCCGCGCTTCACCTGCCGATTTTAGCCCCAAAGCCAGGGCGCGGGAGTGGCCACCAGCCGAACCTTCTGCTTGGGGGCAGGCTTGGCCTTTGGCAACGGCTGGTGCGCCTGGGCTTCTCAAACCGCTGCTCGCAAGCGCAACAGCAACTTGGCTGGCGGTGTTCACCCTCTTTGCGGGGGTCCGGCTCGGGGGGAACCACGGGGAAAACCAGCATGTTTTGGGACGGCCCCCGAGTTTTTGAGGCAAAGCCTGAAAAAGAGGCCTTCCTTTGTTCACTGCCCTGCCAGGTGGCCGCGGCATGGAGGACGGGCGCAATCTTGGCCACTGGTTCCATGGGACAAGCCACAGCCATAGATCGTGCAGTGATCATGGGTAACTTCTTCCATGTGGGAAAGTCGTTTATTTTTTGTGATTTCCCGGATGGTCATCCCATTTTTACTGGACCTTTAGTCCTTTTCTTGATATCGATCAACGGATCCTCTTGGAAGGTCTGATTCCAGATGGCTGACCAAGCTCAACAGCCTTCTGATTGGCAGGTAGGCCTTGCAATGCACAAAAGTGACTAACCAAAGTAAACTCTTGAGCCATGAGCCAAACCTACAACCTTCAAGGTGAGAAAAACATCCGCGTCAAGTCAAAAGGGGCGCGCAGCCCGCCAAGAAAGTGGCACGTGGCAACAACATTCGCACGGCATTCACCAACATGCTGCGGATCCAAACTGCTCCACGACCCATTTTCACCCTATTCGGGCCCCCTTCACTCTTCCAAGTCTTCGGCTGTCCCGCTCGCCGTGCCTGGCGGCTCGGGTGGCATCTCGCTGCACGCCTTGCCCCTCATGCTCGGCTCGCCGTGCGCACGGTCACGGGCCAAAAGGTGTTTGCCCGGGAAACGGGTCCCACATGTTGCCCCAAGGCCCATGGGGCGCGTCAGGTGAGCGAGCGCGCTGACACCTCGCGAATTTTCGGAACCTCAGAGGACGAGGACGCGGCGGCCGTGATAGTGCTGCAGCCCCTCCAGGCGCCAGGAGGGGTCGAAGTATCTGCCGACGCCCACCCGGAAGTCCATGGAGACGCGCAAATGTTCGGTGGGGTTGCAAGGCGCGTAGTGTCGCACCAAGGTGCCGTGGAACATGGCCACCTGCCCCACCTGAGTCAACTTTGTAACACGGTAAGACCGAACCTTTGGCAAGAACATCCACACCCATCGGCTGGGACTGACAAACCTTCTCAGGCTTTGATTCCGGCGCACCTCCAGCTCCAAGGGATGGAAATCCTCGGCGTTCGGCTGGGACTCCACCCACAGAGTGGTCTTCGTACTGCTGTAGTCGGTCAACGGCATCCAGAAGTTCACCTCTCCGTCCTCGAAAAAAAATGGCAAGAGTGTGGTGTCGTTTTTGAGGGGTACCGTTTAGATCCACCTAGCAAAGGCCTGCTGACCATGAGCATTTGAGGCTCATTAGTGGCGTTGCTGACTCTTCTGGTTGAGAGTTAAGTGTCTGAATCCAACTCCACTGCCTCTAGCGTTCCATCACCATATCCAAAAACTCTTGCAACAAACCATTGCTTCAAGCCTCGCATTTAGCACACAGGGCTCCAAAGCTCTGACACAAGGACCACACACGCCCTCATGAAAAGGAACCAAAGGGAACCAAACCATCGGCTTGAAACATCTGAGTGACAATGAAAATTCGGTATTCAAATGGTCCACCCACATCCATGTAAGGATATACAAAGGCGGCCGCTGTTTCTGGCGACTGTCCCTTACTAACCTTCATCTACCCGAGCTTTGATCGCACAGAGGTTCCTTGAGGCCAACAGCCCGTCCTGATGCCCAAACTCGGCGTCGCGATGCAAACGCCGGGGCCGCTCGCTGGGACCGGGCTGCAAACGCACAGTGGGCGGGAACTGGCAGTAGAAGGAGCTTGCGCCGTCCTACACTTGAGGACTCCAAGGGAAGGCACAAAAGGCTTGGAACGGGCACCTGACTCCCGTTTTGGGAATGGTTCAAAGGGAAAGCAGGGGAAAGCACCCAGTAAAAATCCGCCTCCCCCAAACGCGCCAGTCCTCCGGCAATTTGGACTTTAGGATGGGGCAAATGACCTCTTTCAGCAGAAGCTCATAACAGGCCAAGAAGTCGGAACTGCCAAGGATGCATTGCCTCAGCCGGTGAAACTGCAGGCTGCAGTTCCTCCCTAAACATGTGCACCCAAGATGCCTCCAACCTCAGTCAGATGCGCGCCCACCAACACCCCACAGGGGGCTAAGCAGTGCCAAGCAAGGCGCGCTTCTCATACTTGAAGGAGCTGAAGACTTCCTGCCATTCACATCCAATCGCTGGAACTGTATCTCTTAAAGTGGTTGCAGCTTCAGGGGGTTCCAAAAACTACGTTTGGGTCCAAGTGTCGCTCCCCTGCAGCATCTCAGAGGGTAACCTTTGAGGATGTCTCACTGAACCGGACCCAGCAAGGAACGAAGGCCCGCCTCCTTCGCTTGGAACATCTCGAGCTCGGTGTCGCCTTCCCTGAAGCTTCCAAATCCGATGTGGGGCCCAGCCCAGCCCAGGAGGCTGGTCAACTTGGCCCGGAAATCGTAGCGCGCCTTGTCATACCTAGGGCCGTCGCACTGATGCCATTTGGACGGTATAGTCGATGCAGTCTCACCCCATGTTGGTAACCACCGTGCCCCATGGAATTGCGCCATCTTACTTTCACCCTGGTGTAGATCTTTTGTCCGCTGTGACTTTTGGGCCATCAAACGTAAGGGTGGTTCTCAAAACATGGTGGACCCTGTTTGGTTGGTAGCAAAGAGCGAACCAAGAGGAACAATTTCTGGGGCCATGATTTCGAGCAACACCCAAAGGAGGGGCCAGAATCCCGTGCACGCGAGCGGGCGGCTCAATCCTCTCTTCCGCTCGAAGGGCCGCCGGCAGCTCTGCCTCGACTTGAGGCTTGGGCGCCTGCAGCCTGAGCTCGCTGCCCGCACACATCCAAAGGAACGGCAAGCGCGGATTCATCCGGAGAACCATAGAGGTGGACCGCCACATTGTGGCTTTTTTTTGGTTCCCCTTTCAACCTGAAAAGGGTGCCCTCCAAAAGCAGAAGCCAAAACCCCAGGGTCCTGCGGGCCAATGATGGGGGAAGGAAAAACGGAACATCCAAGAGCGCGCCAGCCCCAACACTGCTCGAAACGAGTGCTCGAAACGAGCGTGCAGTTCAGCGACAGCATGCGCTCCCCCAAGGAAGCAGGCACCCCCAATTTCGACAGCTGCTCATATCCTGGCGTTAGGCAAGGTACAGGAGCACAGAAAACCAAGTCACGGTCCTGCTTCATCCTTCTTAGAGTCTTTGGGATCTTCAGCCATGCATGGCTCACACTCAGCTGGTTCCGTTGCTGAGCAGTTTGCGTCTTGGCAGCTGCTGTGCTGCCATCATGGCCTGCGACAATTCGCCATGCGGGTATGGGTCAAAATTAAACCACCAGGGGACCGCAGGTTTTAGTCCATGTTTCCATTTACCATGGTTCCATTATGGGTACCTATTTTTGCCATGTTTTGCCTGAGGAAACCACAAACGCCGGACCAACAAAACGTATTGCTCCATCGCCATTGCACCGTGCAGTTGAGCCACACATGGCTTTCCGGAACGGGCGCAGTGACACAATGCACTGGTCGGCTTCAAGTACCGCGCTAGTCTGCGGAATGAGAACCCTGGCGGATTCGCACTCCTCCCATCCATAAAGGGCAAAGCTCAGAGCAGCAAAGCCCGGGCGCCCCGTCCTCTTGGAAGCAAGTCATCCATGGCCATGCTCATCCCACTGCCCGGTAGCAAGCTCCCCACGTGCCGAAAACTGCTGTGTGATCTTGCGAAAGCTCTGGGTTGTCTGCGGTTTCTGTGCTTGCAGCGCCACGCTCGAGCCCTGTGCTTCTCCGAAGTCTCGTCCACTTTGCCGACTGAAACTCGCAAGGGCCTGCGAGTAGCCGCCCTTCGCGAAGTGGAAGAGCAGGCCCTGAGCGTGTCCAAAGGCTGAGATTGCATTTGAGCTGACTGAGCCCCAGCCTGATAGCGCTCAACCAGGTGCCGACTATTGCCAGCCTGTGTTCGTTTTGCTTGGTCTAAAGTCTAGCTGCAATGAATATGAGTTCATCCTCCCTCACATGCATCATCCTGTGGCAGCATGTCTTGGTTTAGTCTTGTGAGCGGACATCGGCGAGTCTGTCAGCTTTGGTTTGGCATTTCCCTCGCCAGCTGTACATATCAGCAAAAAGGCGCTGTAGTCGCCGAAGTGGCATTAGCTAGAGCGCGACCAGCCAACTACGCCCAAGTCGCACCTGGGCGGCCTACACATGTCCAAACATTCTTGCTAAGCCCTGCTGTTGAGGGCCGCAAACTCAAACATTTGCTCAAAAAATGTCTCTGAGCGTGTCCACGGCGATCCCGCGTGCGGGCCTGCAGCCTTCGAACTCAGAATGTGACTGGGCACCTGGCCCAAAGCTGGGCTCGTCGTCGGCGGTCGGGCAAAACACGAGCTGGCCGAAGTCTGGCTGAGCACTCGGCTGATAGCCAGGCTGACCGAAAGCGCCATACTCGTATGGATGCTCATATTGGCAGTCATAGTCCTGCGGCCTGTACAGATGCTCACCCATGTCCTTTCCCGTGACGCAGCCCATGGCTTCAACTAGCAATGCTACGTGGACACCTCAGCCAGAGCTTTCAGCCAGGGCGACGCCAACATCCAACTACCTTGCCATGCCCAAAACACTTAGCTGCCTCCTCTTTGACTGGACCTACAACGCGTCCGTTCAAAAGCAGCCACACCTTTTTCATGCCCCATCTGAGCGCGGCGGCACAGCACTCCTGGGCAACCTCGGCTTCACGAGCAACGCCGAAGCAGAGCGGTTGCGGATCTCTTCGATGTCCTCTTTAAACATCGGGGAGAAGAACAACTCGAATCAACTTTGGAACAAATTTGAGATCTCCAAACCGCCTAGAAGGGGGCACAGTCCAGAAGGCTGAGTGCCTTCTGCTATCGGGCCATGTCAAGAGGCGGAGCATGCAGGAACGTCAAGGTCAGCGCAGCCACAGCCGGGGGTACCTCCAGCTTGTTGATGGAGGTCGCCAGGTGGCTGAGCCATCTGGACAGCCGGGATGTCGTGCCAGTGAGCCCTGGCCCCAGAAACGCGCAAGGGTTGCGGTTTCCCCTTGAAGCACGGAGACCCGGCAACAAAAAGAATAGGGTGTCATTGTTTGAGGGTACCCCTGTTTCTGGTTCTAAACTTACAGCCAGAAGGCCCCCCCATTTTGGGGGTCCCCTCAAAAAGACACACCTAGAAGGCAAATGAGTGCTGCGTCAAGACAAGACGCCGCCCGAATGTGCGAAAGGCGCTTCCTCGAAAATGCTTCTGTACTCATTCTGCCCCATGCCGAACTTGATGCGGTCATGGAGGTCTTTGCGCAACTGTGACAATCTTCGGGGCGCTTCCCAGGATAAAACTTCCTTGCTCAGCTGCAGAAGTGGTCCACAAAAATCCGGGACCAGCAAAAAATCATGGAACAATCACGGTTGTTCAAAAACTCTTTCTTCTGTGCCGAGGTTCTCGTTCACCAGTGAAAGCCGTCAGCTGACATTGAATGACATACCTCAAAGGTTTCCGCTTTTGGCGCGATGCGTCAAGAACAAACTCACCTACAGGCCAAAGAAGTGATGCTTGAAACCACGCAAAGGGAAATATAGAAATCGACTGTGGTCGAGATGCCAGGTGTGGCCTGCCTGCTCAATGTGCTCGCTTGTTTTCAGGCTCAAGGCTGGGGTCTGCCCGGCAAGGCTAGTGCCATCCACCCAGGTCTTGTTGGTGAGGACCCGGTAGCCGTAGATCCCCAGGAAGAACTGCTCCTTGCGATAAATGTGTATGGCTGAACTCACTTCGAAGCCACGTGCCTCTTTCGTTTGGAATCTTATGAGTGGGGAGCAGTGGCCTTGGTAGACAAAGAATTGGAACCAATTCTTGTCAGCCCTCCCAGTTGTTCACTGACAGCCTAGCCCAAACAACCTACAAGACTGGTGGGCCGCGCGTACTGATCACTTGGGTAAGGATTGGAATGCCGCGAAGGAGGTCTCACTTCCATATCTGCAGGACAACCGTGTCCATGTTCCGGGTGGTCTTTTACGAACTGGAGGTGATAGTCGCTTCACCTTTTGGCGCTGCAATCCTCAGAAAATCACCAGCGGCGGTTTTCACATCGTGGAAGATCTCTGGTGGGACAACTTGGCCACGCTGAGGACAGGTTGCAAGTAGGTCATGCACAGTCATGATGCTCGAGCGGGTTTACAAAGGGCCTGCAGCGTACATCCTGCAGTACTTTCTTGTGATTTTGAGGGCGGCAGCTCGTGGGTGCAGCTGGTCGGTCTGGGCTTCTTTTAGACATCACGTGGGGCCTGCACTTCGTGCCCAGTGGTGGCCTGTGCCTAGCTCCACGAGCCTGTTCAGGGTCGCAAGTTCTTGGGGCGAGGGGCTACTTTCGTGGTGCTTAGGCAACGACCTTCTTCTGCTCTTCTGGCAGTGGGCAGGGTCGTGCCATCAGCGTCGCTTGAGCCAGTGGTACGGGAGCATTGCCGAGACTATGTGCTGTAGGGTTGTACAGACTGGTGATAGGGGGTGCCGGCCCCAAACGCACATTGCGGTTGGTGCCCTGTTCTTGGATACCAATGGAGCGTGCAAAGCGCGACTGGGGCAACATTGCCTTGCCAGCGTAAGACTATGTTGCCTTCCGGCGAGAGGCCGCTCGCACGCGAAGCGCCGGAAAAGGCCGAGCAAGTTGTTCAGTGACCCGTGAATGTGATGGGCAAGATCCGCTCATTCAAGCGCGCTGGCCATTGCTTGGGAAGCAGACATGTCGCCAAACCAACGGCTCCTGCTTCACGAAGTGCTCCACTTCACAGGCTGCGGCCGCCTTCCAAAGGCTGTCGCTGTGTGGCCCGGTGGTCGTCGTGATGGCCCGAAGCGCGAGGTTCGACTCCTAATCAGCAACCCGCAGAAAGGTGAACTGGCCCAGACTTAGGCCCTATAGACCCAGAAGGGCAAAAATGCAAAATGGCTAGTTGAGTCTGGCAATAGAAACATGATCAAGCCCGAACTCAGCCCAACCCCTGGCTCCAGAACGTCAGAGCTCTGGGTGTCATTGCCTGCTCGGGGCTCAAATTGCGCTCGCCGCGGAAGTGGCTTTGACCTGAGTCGTGGGCCTACGCCCGTGGCAGGTTAAACCAGTTTCCCAACGCCACGCACCGCCGGCACAGGCTAAGCTGGTCACTTGAGTTGCTCCTGGAACAGATTTGGCCGGCCGACGTGAATGCTAGCAAGGAAGCGTCAAGATAGGCACGAGAAGCATGCTCTTCCTAGTTCGCTGAAGCGCTGCAACCCTTGTTCGTGAAGAGTATGGGGGTTGTCTGAAAACAGGGGACCCTCCAAAATGGTTGTTTCTGTTTCGTGTCCCTTCCCAACAATACCCTCACTGGCACCACGGCCAAAGCATCCCCATGGCTACTCTGCATGGGCCATCTCTCCTTTCGCTGAACCTTTGCCAGCAGCACTGGGGCGCATCGGAGCTGGTGCACGATGCTCAGAAACTCTGCGGCGTCATTGACCTGGGCGATGAAGTCCCGCTCCTGACAGATTCCAACCGCGCCCAGAAAACCCTTTCACTTCCCAACTTCCCGCGTGCGCGGGCGTGCACCAAGTCCAAGTGGAGCATTTGTTGAAAGCAAAGTCCACGACAGCTTGCAGCTCTAAGCATCCACGCAGGTCATTGCCCGATAGCCCAAAACTCAATTTATGGCCTGCGAAACCCCCACTTGACCTGTCAAGGAACTGGAGGTAGACAAGGACTTGCAGCCAGTCGTTGAAGCCTACTCTTTTCTGGGAAAAATGCCTGCTTTGTGAGGAGCATGGGACCTGCCAAAAGAGAATGCTGCTAGCCAACCCCAAGCAAGCACATGACCACGTTGCCACCCCAACTGCTTCACATTGAGTTCCAGAGCTGCCTGCCCCAGCCTCTGTCCTGGATAGCCAGCTCAGGATTGGTGACATTCCATTCAGCCACGCAGCCTGTCTCCTCCACGGCGGTGACCAGCAAACCTTCCCCCAGCCGCATCACCTCAGCTCGTGGGAAACAAGAAACGGGCCCTCACACCCCTCACACCCGCGAGGTAGAGCAGTTCGCTCGAGCCTTGGAAGCCTCTGAGTTCGCTCGAGCCTTTGCGGGAAAAGGGGCCCCTGGGCGCCTGAATGCTTCTCCCGGTGGCCCCTGGGCGCCCTGCCGTGACCCCGAGTTTGCAGCCCAGGATGGGTCGCAACGCGACCTCAAGTTGCAGTTTCCGGTCCAGTGTGAACCTCCGGCCTTCGCGCGCCAAATCAATTGGAGCTCGAAAATGGAACTGGAACCCACATGATCCGGAGATAGCTGGAAAAACGGCACCCTAATAAAGGACCTTCACCGGAGGCACCGCAGTCGGGTACCATCAACGCATGCACAACCAATGGGAAACCACCCGTAGAGGGGTCCTTTCTTGGACACCATATGGGGCGCCCGAAACGGCCCGAATCGGTGGAATCGCTCGTCAACGATGCTTTCTTGGGTTTAGGAACCCTTTCCTTTCGGTTTCCCTTTCTGGCAAAAACCCCAAAAAAAGCCGCACCGAGCTTCGCGCGAGGCGCGTGCATGCGCCCCCACCTACGCCTTCCCCCCGCACTCCGCCGGGCGACATGGAACTCCTCGGGCTCGTCGGCCACACAGAGCTGCAGATCCTCGAGCTGCGCCAACTCCGCCGCCTCGGCCGCGGAGGGCCTCGAGCACTCGGCACTCGGCACGCGACGCAGGGCCGTGGGGACCCGAAACCGAAGAAAATGAGGGGCTCCGCGGGGTTTGGGTTCTTACACCTTTACACCCCTAGTTTAAATGGCATGTAAACACCTCAGATTCACCCGCGACCCAAAAAACTGCCTGTGCTGAGGGGAATCTCCTTCTCGGCGACCCTCTACTTTGAGTCTCCCCTTGAAAATCAAAAGCATTGTTTAAACAGCCTCTTCGGTTTATCTTTTAAAGAAAGAGTAACCAGGGTCTTTAAGCAGATGTTGCCCCCAACCCTGGCCAGCGCAGCCCATGACATGTTTACTTTCGTTGAAGGGAACGCAAGGCACGCTCTCGTGTTTTCAAAATGGACTTGGGGACTTGTTTAAAAAGAACAAGGGATGGTTTATAGGAGTCATTCCCTCATTCCGTGCTGAAAACCAAGTCACCTGAGGCGGCAGTGCAAGCTCGTGGCACCAAGTGTTTCTGCTTGTTTCTGAAGGGTAGACAGCCTACCACGCTTGGCCAGCACAACTTTGAGCTGTTCAAGGTTTGCGTCGGCATGGCTGTGGTTGCACCAGCCCGAGTGGGGGCGGAAGGTATTTACGCAAGAAGCGAGGTTCTGGCAGGTTCGGCCCCAAGCGAGGGAGAAAAAAAACACGTTTGGTGCACCCAAAAGGATGCCCGCGCCCCACGTTGGCCACATTCTCGGAGCATGACAGGGTTGTTGAGCGTGGCGATTCATGCTTCGGCTGACACAGTGCGATCGGCTTACAAACGCCTCAAATTGATTCCTCAAGTACATTCTCTTAGACTCTTGGTACGAAATGCCATGCATTGCCTCCTGCCGTGTGCTTCACTAGGGGTAAACAATGAACATGCAAACAAAAACAAATGCTGCAAGCGAGCGACTGATTTTGGACGCTTGCTTCTTCCATCAACATCTCCAAAGAGTTGGAAGCCTTCGGCTTGCTCTGGATCGGAGACTCCACCTGAAACACGGGCACTCGAGCAGGGCGAGGCCTACCAAACAAAGAAAACAATGTCTTAGTCAAAGGGCAAGTTGAAGACCTAGAGGCGGCAGCACAAACCATCCAGTGCTCATGCAATTCAGAGCATCCCGCACTACTGCACGCATAGATGCCATGCAGCCAATCAGAAAGGACAGTCAGCAGGCAGGGCAACCATGGCATGGGCTTGCAGCGATGCCGCTCCCCCGCCTTCTCCCCTGCCCTGGCAATGGGCAGTCGTAGCTCCGGTTTCGCCGGCGCAGCGCAGTCAGCCGCGGCTGCAGGCGCCGGCGCAGCGCAGTCAGCCGCAGGCTGACCATCAGATCCATCGGATCCATCAGCGTAGCCTTCTGGCATTGGCACACGCACCTTTGCCGTTTCTGCCGAAGGTCGGCCGGCTGCAAATGGTCAGCCGGCAGATAACATTGCTGCTTTGTGTGTGTGTGTAAGTCCGTAACGAAAAAAGTAGCCAAGCTGCTCTTCAATTTCGAAATCTGGGTGTGCAGGGCATTGAGTGGCTGGGCAGTCTGCGTGTGTGTGTGTGTGTGTGTGTGTGTGTGTGTGTGTGTGTGTGTGTGTGTGTGTGTGTGTGTGTGTGTGTGTGTGTGTGTGTGTGTGTGTGTGTGTGTGTGTGTGTTGTGTGTGTGTGTGTGTGTGTGTGTGTGTGTGTGTGTGTGTGTGTGTGTGTGTGTGTGTGTGTGTGTGTGTGTGTGTGTGTGTGTGTGTGTGTGTGTGTGTGTGTGTGTGTGTGTGTGTGTGTGTGTGTGTGTGTGTGTGTGTGTGTGTGTGTGTGTGTGTGTGTGTGTGTGTGTGTGTGTGTGTGTGTGTGTGTGTGTGTGTGTGTGTGTGTTGTGTGTGTGTGTGTGTGTGTGTGTGTGTGTGTGTGTGTGTGTGTGTTGTGTGTGTGTGTGTGTGTGTGTGTGTGTGTGTGTGTGTGTGTGTGTGTGTGTGTGTGTGTGTGTGTGTGTGTGTGTGTGTGTGTGTGTGTGTGTGTGTGTGTGTGTGTGTGTGTGTGTGTGTGTGTGTGTGTGTGTGTGTGTGTGTGTGTGTGTGTGTGTGTGTGTGTGTGTGTGTGTGTGTGTGTGTGTGTGTGTGTGTGTGTGTGTGTGTGTGTGTGTGTGTGTGTGTGTGTGTGTGTGTGTGTGTGTGTGTGTGTGTGTGTGTGTGTGTGTGTGTGTGTGTGTGTGTGTGTGTGTGTGTGTGTGTGTGTGTGTGTGTGTGTGTGTGTGTGTGTGTGTGTGTGTGTGTGTGTGTGTGTGTGTGTGTGTGTGTGTGTGTGTGTGTGTGTGTGTGTGTGTGTGTGTGTGTGTGTGTGTGTGTGTGTGTGTGTGTGTGTGTGTGTGTGTGTGTGTGTGTGTGTGTGTGTGTGTGTGTGTGTGTGTGTGTGTGTGTGTGTGTGTGTGTGTTTTGATCATCACCTCAGTTAGAAACTGACATGGCAGACTCCACAGAACAGCCTGTCCCACCATGATTCCGCACGAATTGCTCTCGGCGAATGCTTGAGCCACCCTGAAGCTCCTCACCTTCCGGCACGCTTCCAATGGTCAAAACTTGTTTTACATGCCGTGGCTATGGCCTCCTGAAAAGGGAAGCGCAGTTCAAGGTTTCTTCTAACATGCCTAGAAGGCCATGACCAGCGTTGGCAACCCCAGGTAAGGCTTTCGAACATGGCATGGCTTGCAGCTTTGCAAGCCTCATCCTCGAAGATCGACTTGAGCACCTCCCAAAAGGTGCTAAAACTCATCCCATCGCCAAACAAATGCGCCGGCCTCTCGGCAAGCAACTTTCCACGACCCTCTTAGAAACCCTCTTGTGCCTCGATCTTGTCATCCACAAAGTGCGAGATGCCAAGCTTTTCGCAAACTACGCCCTTGCCCGTGGGCCTGACCAAGCAAGCCTCTCTCAAAACTGCGCGAAGCGCACGGACATCGCTCAGGCCATCACCCGTCAACAGTTCGAACGAAAACAATGTTCTCCTTGGGAAGGCCAGTCACCTGCACTCACTCTGGCAGGATACGGCATACCATCCTATGTACGGCCAGCACCTTGCAGAAATCCATTGTCTCGTGCAGCCACCTTGAGGCCGCGAGCGGCCAAAAGGCAGTCCGAACATCACTTGCATGCGTTTGTGTTATCATTGGACATGTCTAGGAATCGGAATTATGTGTCCGTTTTGAGGCATGACTTGGGCTGACGCTGCTCCATCCTTTGGTGCATAGACCCTCCAGGGCGGACCTCGGCCAAAACCAGGTGATCATCCAATGGTGTGGATGGACCGAAACCACTTCGCAGCAGTTGGGATGGGTGAAACCGTCCCATCCACATCCACAGTCGGTCCAAGCTGTCCAGCCTTGCTAACCAGGAAGGTGTTCGTGGGCCCAAAGACCTGGACGATCTTGCGGACCTCAATCAACTAAGCCACCGCCTGCAAAAAAAAAGGCCTACCCGAAGGTATGGAAAGGCCGCACCTATCTCCGGCCGAGACTGTCCGACTTGGCGTTTCCCAAAAAAACCTTACCTGCATTTCAAGCGCGCGGCAGAATCCAAAGCTCCATCAGCCTCCCAGCTGGCGTCCCACCTAGCAACACAGTGTTTTTCCCGTCTCGAAATCTGCGGATGCGAATCCATGAGCTGCCGGCTCATCCAGCGAGCCCATGTAAGTTGAGTCTCCTTCTCGAGTCAGGACCTATGCAGCTGAAGACTTGTTTCTCTCTCGTGTTGCCACCATCTCGCCAAGCGCGTGACGCCGCCAATGTCGATGCCGATGCGCGGCTCAGTGCCGGTTGCCTGCAGGTGGGTGTGTCTTGTTTGAGGGTTCACCTTTTTGGTAGGTTTTAAAGGGAAACCAAAGGAAAACCATAACTTTGGGGGGGTTCCCTAGAAAAAGACACCTCCCAGGTCAGTCATTTGACAACTGCTCCGAAGGGCGCCACCAGAACTACGGCTCAAGGCGCCTTTGGCTTGTCAGCAGCCGCTTCCAGGAAGAGCGGAGTTGTCGGATATTCCTTGAGAGAAGGGCAACGGCGCGAGCCATGGTCAAAAAGTTACAGATCTCGAACCCAAGGAGGTTTTTTGGTTGTGCTTATTTGTGGGTTCAGTGAATCAATAGGTCCCCTGATTGTCTTGTCAGCGAGTCAATAGTCAGAAACTGACCGGACCGAGCCGGCGCTCAACTCGGCCACCGGCGCTCCACGAGAACCTCCTGGACAGCTGCCTTCCGGGAAGCGCCTGTGGTAGCTCATCGTCCGACTCGCTCCGCGAGCCTCGAGCCAAGGGCTGGAGAAACATCCCCCACCCACCCACCCCACCCACCCCACCCACCCCACCCGAAAGAGGAAAAAAATCGGTGGAAACGAGCCTGGGTCTTGCTCTGGCACTTGCTTCGGGGTGGTGTCCACGGCTGTCCTCAGCTGGAGCTGTCAAGTCGAATTGTCAGGGGGAGGGAGCCATGTTCTCTCAGAGGGAACCGCAACTGCGCTGCCACATTGGCATGTGTGAAAATTGGGGAACCCAGGATTCTGGCTGCTTTTTGCTTTCTCCTTTTTCACATGGGCTGGAAAAATTGCACCCCTGACAACGACCACACACCCAAATGCACCCAACCTTCTTGAGCCTTCTCAGGTTCCAGTCAGGGGTCCAAACGGAATGATGCTTCCACAAGTGCATTGACGACCAGGGGTGCCCGGCAGACTTGGAGGCCGCGGGCGGTTGAGATCAGCGAAATCTCCTTGCGACTGCGACCAGTCCACGGCTTCAAACCACGGGTATGGAATTCAAGCTCAGGGAACATTGTGAGGCCCCGAAAGGCTTGGCTTGCTTCACTGCGTGGCGTGCATTTTTTTGCTCAGCCCTGCAGGCGTGATTGGGCGCTGCGCAGCATTCTGAGCTCAAATGGGGCTCCTTTTTCTGTACCTATCACATGGCTATGGCCTCCCATCACTTGCCCTGGATTTGAGCAAACTTCGCTGTGCAGCCCCCGGCTAGTATACAAACACGGTGAAACCTTTCAGGTCACACTCTAGACATTTGACAGCCCTTAGGTCAGAATGCGACAGATTTGTTGCGTCTGGCAACCTCCGGCGTCGCCATCGGCATGGCGACCTTCTGCGCACCTCACTACACATCAGCGCCGCACAACTTCCGAGCGAACGCTTGGATCCAAGACGGTCATGTTCGGTCTCTGTGGGCCTCACTACAACGTTTCTTAACTCAGGTCATGCAGCCGCTGACCTCAGCGGGTGGGGTTTCTCAGGGTCTTGGGGGCGTTTCTCTGGTGCTTCCCCCACTTTGCCCCCGCCTTCGCTTGGAGAAGGCGCATTCATGGTGGCCACTCGCATCTGCAGCATCCCCTGGACCTCGTCACGCACCGGTTTCTGGTGCCCGGCATCGAAGTAGCGCCTGCAAAACAAGAAGCGGGCGCTCCGTCTGGGTCTGGAGGGGACGTGGGGGTATGTGCCTTACATGTAGGGTTGCACCCTCTTGGATTGGTCATAAAATGTCTAGACTATTAGTTTGCCACTAAATTGCTCTTCCCAAAAAGTTTGAAGTCCGGGAACTCAAGGAGTGAGGAAACAAGTACCCTCACACCTTTTGCAGGAAATCCTTGCCGGTACGCGCCTACAAGGCTTGGGCGCATCTGCGCGTTCGGCCGGCATAGAGCAGTCCCAGGAAGGCCGGTTCTTAGTTCAGAAACACTCTTGCTTGCCTCCAAACCAAGGAACGTACCAACCATTTTTGTGGGTCCACGGTTTCCGCCTAATGCAAATCCTGGAATAAGTGGACCCCCTGCTGATTAGATGAAAGGTGTTCTTTGTATTGGGAATCCTTGACTTTTTGGTGGGTGACCCACCGATTGCCCTGTGGCACTGAGTCAATGGCCCCATTCGACCTCTCGGAGGACTGCGACATCCTAAGCATTCAATTACTCCGCATGGCCGCCCTCAGCTCGAACTGAGCAGGAACTGAGCAACTCAGCGAGCGGCCGAGATGGTGGCGAGAACTTGGACGATGTCTTCGCCTTATGCTGCGACGATTCTCTTACCCACAACTCCCCCAGGCAACTTGCTGGCTCCCTCGCGAACGGGCCGGGGGCAGCGCGGCGGCTTTCATGGCATTGCTCGTGGCCTCGAGGTCAGGACACTGGCCAGGCACTGCGCCACGGCGATCCACTGCGCCTGCTTTTGTTTCTGATGCACCGGGTCGAAGTCGTTGAACGACCATCGCAGGTTGGGATGCAACTTCGACCTTGGGCTTGCATGCCATGGCAATGGTTTTGTTCTGTACCCTCTATTACATTGGAGCATCCCTGGTTTTGAGCGAAATATGGAGAGCCCCCCCTGTGTTCCCCTGCAAGGCACCGCAACTTGGCCCCCCGCGGATTGTTGTTGACAAAGTCCACAACCGAACTGTTCCAGGGTTGGTGCTGCACAACTGCCTGTCGCTTGCGTATCAAAAGGCCCGTTAGTTGCCCTGTCTTCACGGATCGCATGTTGTCAAAAGCACCCTTCCATCTCCCACGTCGTTTGCGCTCAAGCGGCCGGAGGGGGCTTTGCTCTGGTCACGGCCAACGCCGGGTTCACACCTAGGTGCTGCCGAAGGAGTCATAAAATCAAACCCGATATCCATGGTCTATCCATAACCATGGCTTCAAGAGTCCGCCGCACCCATTTTATGGCTGGAGTGTCCCTTACCGAACAGCCCTCCAACTACCTGGGTTTTGAGCAAGCGGTTCAAAGTTCAAAGGAAAAGGGGAAAGACTCCCCTCTCCACATTGCCATCTGGGGCACTCGAGCGCTTCCGCATGTGCAGTACTGGAGACACCGCCTGCTCGCTGAGAGCTGGTGTCCGCGCAGGTGACAAAACCGGCGAGACACCTGCGCATGGAACTTCCTGGCTTGACGGATCAGCAAAATGCATGTGGGTGTGTCTTTTTTAGAGCACTCCCAAAAATGGTTGGGTTTTCCTGTTGGCTTCCCTTCAACCCAACCTATAAAGGGGTACCCTTCAAAAAAGGCACACCCAGTTGGTGTTGGCTTGCCTTCTTCACTCTGGTCAGCCTTTGGCTTGCCATGCGCGTTCAAGACCTTGAGGAGGTTTTGCGCCGAAATCTTGGTGCCGTTGCCGCCGAGGCATCTGTCAGGGAAATGGCGACATGCCCAAGACATACGCAAACGGCGGCTGCAGCCTTACAGGTGGCTCGTGTCACCATGCTGACGTGCATCAGGAATTGCCAGGGGCTTCCAAATCCACTACGAACTGCCCAAAAAAAGAAAGAAAAACCCCCCCCCCCCCCCCAAAAAAAAAAAAAAAGGGCGTGGCCTGGCAGCGAGGACGGCCGCATGCTGTGCGTCGCCATCGAAGCCCAAGGCAGTGAGTCTGGCAGCAAGGTCGCAGACGTTGACCTCAAAAGCTGCTGCACCTTTGAGCTTCTGATCCCTCGGCCCGCCTCCGAGTAGATGCCGCCCAGGCCGAGCTTTGTGATGAGCACCTGCCAGAGCCAAAGGCTAAGGCTAGCCTCTCTCTCGTCATTACTTTCGGGTGCGCAACTCATGACCTCAAAATCATACTGATGGTGATCTTGATGCACATGCTCCAGGACCAAGTTTCACTGGTCTTCTCCTTGTGCTTGAGCATTCAACGTTTGGCTTCAAGCTGATTGATATCAGTCGGCCGTGCAGATTAATTATCACACCGGCTTGGTCCAAGCTGGACCGCCCCCCCAAGGAGTCCCTTCCTAATGCTGTAGTGGAGCCGGCCAAAGCAAGGCAATAACAATCGTCCGATATGCACATTTCCACGCGTCCAAAGCAGCATGCGCGCGAAGCTGCAACATCTACTTTGGAAGCGGGGCAAGGACGATTCGGTAAGAGTGGGGTGCCCCTGCAAGTCAACCACTCGCATTCCACTTGGCGGCGGCCATGAGACATCCTCATGCTTTATGAGCAGCGTTGAGAGACAAGCAACGCCTAGTGAAGCTCAAGCAGAGAGACAGAGAGACAGAGACACGGAGAGACAGAGAGAGAGAGAGAGAGAGACAGAGAGAGAGAGAGAGAAAGTCAGTCGGGCGGAAGCGTGCAAAGAACCCTCCCCGCCGCCCCGTGCCTCTGGGCCGCCGATCTCGTAGCGTGAAAAACTCACGAGGCTGGCCTCGACGCGGCGAGTTCGGCGAGTGTGGCAGCCGCGATAGCTGAGGAGCTCGCCAAGGGGCCTGTCATGGCTGAGGCTCGCCACGACAAGCCAACAAAGGGACAAGCGCCAAAGGGGATGTGCCAAAATAGGTGCACCCCCAGAAAAACCAAGCTTCCTCTTTAACTCAACCAAACAACAAGTGCCCTCAAAAATAACAAAAGCACACACACACACACGCGCGCAAACACACACACACACAAACAAACAAACAAACACATTGGGCCTTCGGTCTCCCTCAGCCTCTCGCGGGCAACCTTCGACACCTCAAAGTGAGAAATCTCAAGCAGCGCACCACGAGAAACAGAAGATGTTCAATGCACCTTCGGGATGTACTCGAAGTCACTGCGCCAGATCCAGCCTGAAACTTCAGAATGGCACAGAAACAAAGCGGAAACCGAAAGATTGATCTCACTCGAAGGCAGGCTGAAACGCAGAACCCGGTCGATATTCCAAAGAGAACGCCCTTTCGTGTTATAGTCTACCCTTGAGACATCAAAAGATGGCAGCCAGCAAACCTGGGCGCTTTGCCCAATCCTTCATGGTCCAAGCCTTTGAAGAGCAGCTCCTTGGTGCCAAGGAAATCAAATCCTTCAGCTGTCAGAACGAGCCAAAAATCGCACGCCGCTTCGGGACCAAAGTGTCGCCCTCTTGGAACTGTGCCACACAGCTGGTAAACTTGGTCAAATGTCTGCATTTTGTGTAGCAGTGGCGTGGTCAAATTTCCCCTTGGTTTAATTATAATCAAACCGGCTGCTTATTCAGCTGAAGGATTCTAGGAGGGAAAGGATGTTGACATTTGTTGCGGAGACCCATGCGGGCAAACTTGTATCCTGGCGGCGTGCTGGACATGTTGACTGAACCTCAGACCCCGGCTGCGTTGCCCTTGAAACCCATGTGTTCCGCGCTTTGGATGAAATCTGCCTCATGCACTGCATGTCACAAACCGTGTCCCGTGTGGGCCTGTTTTTTCTGTGGCTGTTTTTCTCTTTTTTACATAGAAACCAAAAGGAAACCAATCACTTTGGAGCTCCCCAGTCCCCCTTTAACACATACCCACAATGAGCGTCAGCCAGCTGGGCCTTTGTCATTTTGTTCTTCTGGTCGTAGTCAAAAAGCCCCCAGGCCTTCGCTCGCTCGGCTTCGGATTCGCGACTTTTTGGGTGGCCGAAAGGGAGGCCAGGAGGAAACCAACCATTTTGGGGTCCCTGTTGAGCCAAACCTACATCTGGGTGTGGCGTTTTTAGGGAACCCCAGTTTTCCTGTTGGTTTCCTTCAAAAACAACAGACTCACAACAATGAGGTGCCCTCAAAAGACGACAGACTCATCTAGCGCTTGCCTTGTCCAAGTCGTAGCCTGAGACCTTGGAGCAAAGAGTCCTTTTCTCTGCATGTTCTGGAACCAAGGCCCGGGACGTTCCAAATCAGCTCAGCAAATTGTTCTACGTGGTCAGCTTCATCCGGCGCCAGCTCCGCGAACCTTCGAAACTTCACCCACGAAGCCCGACATCGATCTTTCACCGGAGACTTCTCTTGCCGGTTCTCAGCGGGGGATGAGAAATGGAAGGATCCCTATAAACAATCCCTTTGCAGCTTCCTTTAAGCGAATCCCTAGGTTCATTCCCAAACCCTGGTCATCCCCTACTCAGCACCAGCAAGTTCTTCCAAGCGGCTCGAGGGCCCTATCATCATTCGGCCGCAAGGAGTTCCAAATCTGCCGCACTCGGCCCTGAAGGCCCATTCTACGCAGCGAATTCCTAGGTCCGGGCAATTGAACCACTCATCAAGTCAAGTCCCCGAGCTAAACATTGGGTGTGTCTTTTTTAGGGGACCCATATTATGGGGGCTTTCCTGTTGGCTTTCCGTTGACTTTTAAACCAACCCAGAAACAGGAAACCAACTCCAAAAACATCATCAACCCCACATGGCTGAGACTCGAAAACTCCACAAAGGTCACGGTCCCACTGTGATTTGTGTCGAGGTCCAGCCGCCATGCCCTCAACCTGAGCTGCATGTCGTGATTCCTGGTTCGTATGGCGTGCTTGTGTGACCGTATCGCACCAGCAACCTAGGGATACGGCAAATTCTGTCGATTTCTCCTTAGCTCCATGCATCACTCAAGCTCCATTGCATGTGACAGCGCAACCATTGTCTGTGAAACGGCTGTTGGGGGGATCCTTTAATTTAGGGGCCATTCCCTCATAGAACCCACATTTCTCAACCACCCTGGGCTTCTTCAGCCTTTTGATTCTGAGCTTCTTCAGGAGCTGCGCAAACTGCCAGGAGGGCGAGCCCTCATCCCTCACAGTCTTTGCCAAGCCCGCGAGGTTCTTCTGGCCCTGGCTTTCAAGCTGGCATACAAATCGCCTCTGCATGTATCACAGTCCTTCCACGATGGCTTCTGCGGATTCGAGCGATTGCACAAAAATAGATAGGTGTCAAAAGAAGATCGATCTTGTATATATTTTATAATTATAATAGGATATGTATATGCATAGTATATGTATACGTATGGTGAATATACATATGTATATATAGTATGTTCTTTTGGGTGTCCCTTGCAATCAGACTGAAATGGATACGTGGACGCACACAATTCTTCCTTCTCATCAGCAAAAACATTGCGAACTCGCGCCTCAAAGCGTCTAAGCTGCGACAACGTAATGACGTTGCTACAGTCCACCCCGATTGCCCTGAGCTGCTTATGCTGCTCTTCCACGCAGCATGTCTGTGCCTCGGTGAATGGATCACTCCTTTTTACGGGCCCTCTCTGAGAGGCTCTTGCCCCGGTTGCCGTAGGACTTTTGCTGCAGACTTCCTTTGTCTCCCAAGCTTGACTTTCTTGAAAATCACTGGCCCCAATTTCAACACAGCTTTGAAGCCAAAATGTGCGTCGGCAGAGATTCTGCATACTTCCCCCTTCACAGCTCAAAGGTTCTGCAGCCCCAGCGAGGCCACACTGGAACAAGAGCATAATGTTAACCCCGGATTAAGCAGAACCCCCAGTTGATTAACAGGGGGTGTCCCCTTTTAGTGGGGATTCATCACTTTTGGAGGGAACACCCCCAAAATAGTGGGACGGGTTTATTAATCCTGGGCCAACATTACTTTCAACATGTCATATTCCTGGCGCTTGCCCCTCCCTCCGCCAAAAGCTGGTGTTTTCTCCTGCAGCCAAGTCGCTATGACCTGGAAAACGAGCAAGGAGTCGCCGGTGAAGCCGAGGTTGCCCATGATGCGAACCCAGTCTTTGGAGGCCATGCAGCGCCGCGCCACGCCGCCAACCTAAGCCCGGAAGCCCGGGACAGGCCGAAACGTGGCAAGATGGGCTTTCTCCCGGTGAAACCCCGCAGAAGACGAGGTGTCCCATTTCGTAGGTGCATAAAGCACCTTTATTTCCCAAAAAGTTAAAGTCTAAAGATCTAACCCAATAGCAGTCAAGCATAATGCCAGTATGTTTTTGTCCCATTCAACCCGAGGAAACCTTACGAGATGGTTGCGGCCTGGAACTTGCCGACGTTCACCCCGCCCAGGGCGGCGTGGTTCACGTGCTCGTCCATAAACTGCTCCCGGATGAGATGCCACCGGGACGCTGCCCACAGGGTCCACTCGCAGACTGCTGCCTCTTCCTTGGCTTCCCGCCCTGGCAGCGAGTTCGAGTTCCATTAAAGGGGACTCCGGGACCCCAGTTTCGTGCCTGTAGGTGTCCCGTTAAGGTCCCCTTCCCTTTGAATTTGAGGACATTGTCTGATTGCTCCTCGTGCTCCTCAAGCGCTGGAGCGCTCAGCTCGCTTTCTATGCCATGTGGTCTCCGGCCCAGCCTTCGTCAGCTTGCCCTTTGGCATCTGCGTCGGCCACCGGCTCGGGCGCCATTGCCACAATGCCGCGGAAAATGCCTTAGCAACTTCACACAACCGCAACAACACACGCGCACACACACACACAAATAAGGCCTAAGGCCAAAGCACTGGTGAGGGCTATGCTGCAAACTTCTTGGAAGTTGCCCGCTTGGCTCAGCAGCTTTGCGCTGGGCTCTATAACCCAATCGGCATGCGTTGAGCCAATTGGCTGCAACTGGCAAAACAAGTCGTGGGCATCGCGCATCTCATCTCATATGGCAAGCATGCCTGTCTTCCCACGTTACAAATCAAAACAAACGCAAGGCGCAAGCAGCGAACGCCTTCGGACATGCTTGCCCACGAACGAATGGGCGGGGAGGCAGCCTAGCCAGGACAACTCACAGCTTGGCCCATGGACTTGTAGCCCTCGCCTTGGAGACTCGCTGCATATCTGGATTGCTTTTGGCCTAAGCAAGGAGCGCTTCACTCTTTCTGCATGCAATCACGGACAAGTGGCTTCATTTTTCTTGAAATCGCATGCCCCTGCCCATGCCGGAGTCGCCGCAGGGCTTGGCGCGGAGCAGTCCTCATAAAGTGGCCATGCCAGCCCTTCTGCCGTTCCGAGCGCCGCGCTTTGGGACTCGAGTCGGGCATGATCACCCGCCTGGCTGCGAAAGGCTTAGAGATCAGAAGGCTGGGATCGCCGGATCTGTGCCTCGCGGGAGCAGCTGGTGCTTCCTTGGCCATGGTCGGCAGCGCAGCTGCCACGGTGCCTGTAGCACAAGGATCCGGCTTAAGACCCTGGAGACAAACTTCCACATCCCCTCACGCCACTAGCCCTCGCAACACACCACGTATGCTTCCCCAAGGGCCTGCTGCAGATGAGGCCTAGGAGGCACCGAAGCCACAAAACCCCAGACCGAGCCAAAAGTGCTATAAGGCCCCTGCCACTGGCATCGTGGTCTGCCGCCTAAACGCCTTTGCAACCTGGGGTCAACCGCGAAGAAGCACCCCCCAGGTGGGTTTAGGGTTCCAACAAAGCATGTTACTGGTAGGTCAACTGCGCCGCGCTGTTTCTGAGAGATCAGCTTGTCCGCGGCTTTTCTCGTAGGGGGCGCGGAGGGCGCGCAGAAGGCAGAGCGCGAGATGGGAAGAGGGACACAGAAGGAAAGGGGGAGAGACGGAGAGACCGAGACAGGGACCAGGGAGAGGTGGAGACAAGGGAGGGACGGAGAAAGAGAGAGAGAGAGAGGGAAAACAAGAAAAGGAGAGGGAGGAGGAGGGAGGGAGGGAGGGAGGGGAGGGGAGGGGGTGGGTGAGGGGAGGGGAGGGGGGGAGGGGAGGGGAGGGGAGGGGAGGGGAGGGGAGGGGAGGGAGGGGAGGGGAGGGAGGGGGGAGGGGAGGGGAGAGGAGGGGAGGGGAGGGGGAGGGAGGGGAGGGGGGAGGGGAGGGGAGGGAGGGGAGGGGGGAGGGGAGGGGAGGAGGGGAGGGGGGGAGGGGAGGGGAGGGGGAGGGAGGGGAGGGAGGGAGGGGAGGGGAGGGAGGGGAGGGGGGAGGGGAGGGGAGGAGGGGAGGGGAGGGAGGGGAGGGGAGAGGAGGGGAGGGGAGGGGAGGGAGGGGAGGGGAGGGGAGGGGAGGGGAGGGGAGGGGAGGGGAGGCGTCAAAACCTAATTCCTGAAGATCAAAAAAAACTTATTAGGGGTTAAAAAACCATTCTTCTCTTAGATGTCCTATTAAAATGAAAACTCACAGGATCAGAAATAACCTGTCAGGGATCAAAAAAAAACTTCGTCATTTCGTGGCACTTGGAGCACTTTCGCAAGGTGAGGTACAGGCTTTGTGGCAGGCGCGGCACTTTCGCAAGGTCAGGTACAGATTTTGAGGTTTCGCGGCAGGTGCAGCACTTTCGCAAGGTACGGCCCAGACTTCGCAAGGTCAGGTACAGAGTTCGTGACAGGTGCAGCACTTGCGCAAGGTGAGGCACATATTTTTTTGGCAGGTGCAGCGCTTTCGCAAGGTACGGTGCACATTTCGCGGCAGGCGCAGCGCTTTCGCAAGTTACGGTACAGATTTCGCGGCAGGCGCAGCACCTTCGCAACGTCAGGTGTAGATTTCGCGGCAGGGGCCGCACTTTCGCGAGGTACGGTATAGAGTTTGTGGCAGGCGCAGCACTGTCGCAAGCGATGAAGAGAAAGATACATAGAAATAAACATGCAGAGAAAGGGACGGAAAGAAAGAGAGAGAGAGAGAGGGGGAAAGAAAGAAAGAAAGAAAGAAAGAAAGAAAGAAAGAAAGAAAGAAAGAAAGAAACATCGAGGATGTGATGATTCAACAAAGAGTGCGTTAATCTCTGTAAGCATTCAAAAAACCAGCGAGCGGGGCTGGGAGGGGGCGGCAGCCCCCGCCCCCCATGATGTTCGAAGAAGTGATGATTCAGCAAAGGGTGCGTTAATCTCTGTAAACATTCTAAAATCAACGGGGGGTTGGGGTGGCGGCCGCCCCCCTTGATGTTCGAAGAAGCGACGATTCATTAAAGGGCGTGTTAATCTCTGTAAGCATTCAAAAAACGAGCGGGGGGGTTGGGGGGGGGGGGGGCCCATGATGATCCAAGAAGTGATGAGTCAGCAAAGGGCGCCGGAATCTCTGTAAACGTGCTGAAAATGAGCGGGGGGGTTGGGGGGCGGCAGCCCCTATGATGTTCAAAGAAGCGATGATTCAACAAAGGGTGCGTTTATCTTTGTAAACATTCTACAAATCAGCGGGGGGCTGGGCGGGGGCGGATTTCCTCCCCATCATGTTCGAAGAAGTGATGATTCAACAAAGGGTGCATCCGCCGATTCCCGAAATCGATATTGAAAACCTCTCAAAATGTTTCAGATCCTTCCTTTACTTGCTTCCTTCCTTCCTTCCTTCCTTCCTTCCTTCCTGCCTGGCTGCCTGGCTGCCTGCCTTCCTTCCTTCCTTCCTGCCTGCCTTCCTGCCTTCCTGCCTTCCTGCCTTCCTGCCTTCCTGCTTGCCTTCCTTCCTTCCTTCCTTCCTTCCTTCTTTCCTTCCTTCCTTCCTTCCCGCCATTCGAATGAGAAGAAGTTTTTGTTGATCCCTAATCAGTTCTTATTGCTCCCTTATAAGTTTTGTGTCGATCCCTCATAACTAAGTTTGCTTGATGCCTATCCCAGAGAAACAGGCAGAAACAAAGAGACGTAATAAGAAGCAGAGAGAAACAGAGACACACAGAGAAATAGAGAAACAGAGAGACGCAAAGAGAAACGGAGAGAACCCGAGAGACACGCAAAGAGAGACATAGAAAGACACACAAAGAATTAGAGAGAAACAAAGAGACACAAAGAGACACACAAACAAAAAGACAGAAACAGAGAGACGCAAAGAGAAACAGAAAGGCACGGGGAGACCAACAAAGAAACAGAGAGACACAGAGAGACAAAACAAGAAACAGAGAGACAAAGAGACGCAAAGAGAAACGGAAAGACACAAAGACAAACAAAGAAACAGAGAAGCACAAAGAGAAACAGAGAAAAGCAGAGGCGCACAAAAAGAAGAGAGAAAAGTAGAGACACACAAAGAGAAACAGAGAAGCAGAGAGCCACACACAAACATAGAAAGCAACGGAGAGACGCAAAGAGAAACTCAGAGAAACAGAGAAACACAAAGAGAAACAGAGAAAAGCAGAGGCTCACAAAAAGAAACAGAGAAAAGTAGACACACACACACACAAAGGGAAACAGAGAGAAGCAGAGAGACACACACACACACGCAAAAATAGGGAGCAACGGACAGACACAAAGAGAAACAGAGAGCCACAGAAAAGCAGAGACACACCTAAAAGGGAAACCAAGAGAAACGGAGAGACACACAAAGAAAAAAAGAGACGCAGAGCGACACGCAAAGTATCAAAGAAATTTAGAGAGACGCACAAAGAAACAAAGAGACACAGAGAGACACACAAAGAAACAGAGAAAAACTTAGAGGCGCAAAGAGAAACAGAGACACACAGAGAGACAGACAAACAAACAGAGACACGCAAAGAAAAGAGAGAATCGGAGAGATGCAAAGAGAAACCGGGAGACACAGAGAGACACACAAAGAAAAAGAGAGAAACAGAGAGACACAGAGGCACAAAGAGAAGAGAAAAGCAGAGACACAGAAACGGAAACAGAAAAACAGAGAGGCACAGAGAGACACAGAGAGCCGAAAAGTAGAGAAAACAGGGAGAGACACAGAGAGAGCCGAAGATAAGCAGAGGTGCACAAGGAGAAACAGAGACAAGCAAAGACACACAAAAGCAAAATCCGAGAAACAGAAAGGCGCACAGAGACACACAAGGAAGCTTAAAGATACAGAGAGACACACAAAGAAACAAAGAGACACACAGAGACACGTACAAAGAAACAAAGAGACAGACAGACACTGAGAAACAGTAAAAAGCAGAGAAACACAAGGAAACACACAAAAAAAAGAGAAGAGAGAGAAACAGAGAGCACAGACAGACACGGAGAGACGCACAAAGAAACACAAAGAAATAGAGAGACACACAGAGACACGAAAAGGAACAGAGAAAAACAGAGACTGGCAATGAGAAACAGAGAGACACGCAGAAAACAGAGAAAAGCAGAGGCGCACAGAAAGAAGCAGAGAAAGGCAGAGACACATCAAGCGAAACAGAGAGAAACAGAGAGAAACAAAGAGGCGCGCACACACACACAAAGAAATAGAAAGAAGCAGAGACACAGAGAGACACGCAAAGAAACAAAGAGACACACAGAGACACGCACAAAGAAACAAGGAGACACAGAGAGAAACAGAAAACAGAGAAAAGCAAAGAGACACAAAGAGAGATACACAAAGAAACAAGAGACACAGAGACACAGAGAGACAAACAAAGAAACAAAAAGACACACAGAGACACGCACAAAGAAACAAGGAGACACAAAGAAGCCACATCAAGCGAAACAGAGAGAAACAGAGAGAAACAGAGAGGCGCGCGCACACACAAAGAAATAGAAAGAAGCAGAGACACAGAGAGACACGCAAAGAAACAAAGAGACACAAAGAGACACGCACGAAAAAACAAGAAGACACAGAGAGAAACAGAGAAACAGAGAAAAGCAAAGAGACACAAAGAGACACACACAAAGAAACAAAGAGACACAGAGACACATGCAAAGAAAAAAAGAGACACAGAGAGACACCCAAAGAAAAAAAGAGACACAGAGACACACACAAAGAAACAAAGAGACACAGAGACACACACAAACAAACAAAGAGACACAGAGACACACACACAAAGAAACAAAGATACACAGAGAGACACAAAGAAAGAAAGAGACACAGAGACACACACACAAAGAAACAAAGATACACAGAGAGACACACAAAGAAACAAAGAAACAAAGATACACAGAGAGACAAAGAGACACAGAGAGACACGCAAAGGAAAAAGAGACACAGCGAGACACACAAAGAAACAAAGAGACACAGAGAGACACACAAAGAAACAAAGAGACACAGAGACACACACAAAGAAACAAAGAGACACAGAGACACACACACAAAGAAACAAAGATACACAGAGAGACACACAAAGAAACAAAGAGACACAGAGACACACACAAAGAAACAAAGATACACAGAGACACGCAAAGAAACAAAGAGACACAGAGACACACACAAAGAAACAAAGATACACAGAGAGACACACAAAGAAACAAAGAGACACAGAGAGACACGCAAAGGAAAAAGAGACACAGCGAGACACACAAAGAAACAAAGAGACACAGAGAGACACACAAAGAAACAAAGAGACACAGAGACACACACAAACAAACAAAGATACACAGAGACACACAAAGAAACAAAGAGATACAGAGACACACACAAAGAAACAAAGAGACACAGAGACACACGCAAAGAAACAAAGATACACAGAGAGACACACAAAGAAACAAAGAGACACAGAGACACACACAAAGAAACAAAGATACACAGAGAGACACACAAAGAAACAAAGAGACACAAAGACACACACAAAGAAAAATAGAGACACAGAGACACACACACAAAGAAACAAAGAGACACAGAGACACACACAAAGAAACAAAGATACACAGAGAGACAAAGAGACACAGAGAGACACGCAAAGGAAAAAGAGACACAGAGAGACACACAAAGAAAGAAAAAGACACAGAGACACACGCAAAGAAACAAAGAGACACAAAGAAACAAAGATACACAGAGAGACACACAAAGAAGCAAAGAGACACAGAGACACACACAAAGAAACAAAGATACACAGAAAGACACACAAAGAAACAAAAAGAAGTGGCGAAATCAGCGCGCTCCTATTGGAGTGAAGAGCTGAACATTCAATGCCCCATTGCCTCTGAGCGCCGCACGGCGGGCTGTCCGGAGGGCCTCAGAGCCATGGTGTGTTGTTGTTTCTCGCTCTCTGTATGGATAATATGATATTTCTATACACACACTTTCCTTACCTATTTCAACTCACTACTTATACAGTATCTCTCTCTATCTCACTGTCTCTCTTTTCTTTCTATCTCTCTGTCTCTCTCTCTTTGTCTCTGTCTCTCTGTGACTCTACCTCTCTCTCTTGCTGGTGCTGGCTGAGGCCATCGCGTGCCCAACGGAGCGGTGACACTCCTGTGGAAGACGGTCCTGAAATTGTGTCCGAAAGCATGCATTGAATTCCTGAATGGCTGCCTAGCAAATATGAAACTACTTGCACAAAAACTACAGGGCTCGGACAAACCATTCGCTCCTCACAGGCATGGCCAGTTGACAGAATGAAGCAAGTTTGCATCAGCATGCTGGAAGTTCGGTCCTTTCGGAGACGGCATCACCTCAAAATCTCAAACTTCTGCAACAAGCATCCGGACGTTGTCGCATCTAAGCTGGTGACTGTCATCATGGCTGCAGGAGTCAAACTGACTCTTGCAGCTGGCGTGTCTTGCGCTTTGCTGAAAATTATGGTTTGACAAACGGCAAGGGGCTTGAAGATGCAGGTTGCAGAAAGAGCTACAAACTCACGCGAGAAGCGCGGCATCTGCTGGCTGTTTCCTGCTGTTCCGATCTGCCTTCAGCGTCTTGAGCAAAAACAACAGATGCGCGCACTCCTCGGCAGGCCGAAAGGTCAAAAGGGTACGTGTCAAGAAATGCCCCAAAATCGTGGCTTTGCTTTTGCTTTGCAACCAAAAAATCAAAAAGGGCGCCCTCAAGAGACATATCCCCAGTCGGCTTCAGTCATGTCTGGCCAACTTTTCGCATCTACGTTTTCATCCGCTTCTCAGGCGGCTCGAAAGCCTGGGCATTCTGAATCAAGACTCCCAAGCTGCGGGAAATATCCTGAGGAAGCGGCGGAAACAGCTGGCCTTGGTTGGGTGACCCACTCCATCCATTGAATGGGTTCCAGGATGCTATGCAGAGGTCCTTTTGCAACATGGAACCCGTTTCTTAACAACCCCTTATCATGCGCGTTGGCGTCAGGACATCATTTCGACGCAAGGCATAGAGATCCGCCGCAATTTCGCTGGATCCTCCTTGGCTCATCTCCTGCCTGACCCTGTCGAATGGCCGGGGCGTGCAATCACCTACCCCTTGCAAAAAGAGCCACCAACTCCGAGCGCAGCGCATGCTTGGAGGACCTGGCATGCCATATATAAACTTGCTTGGAGTGGACTGAGTGGACCATCGCCGAACCTGCAAGCGGCCTGTTTCCCACCTGAGTGCCGCGCAGAACTGCACTCACCTCCTCTTCCCTTTTCTGGCACTAAGGCACTACCAGCTGTACAAACCATGCATCTCAGGCGAGCCACATAGCTCGAACAACACATTTCTTGGAGCACGCTTGTGTCTCCAGTGCCGCCATTCAAGCAAATGCCTCTTCGACGTCGACGAGACGTGCTGAGCCTCTGGCCATGGGGCCTTGGCCCATGCGCCTCATCCCTTCAGAGTCCCTTCCACCAGCTGAGCCCCAGGCCCATAACCATGGGGATCGGCAAGCCCCTGGCCGGGGGAAAATCCATGGCCCGTGGCTTGCCCTTCTCGAACGAATCCCTGGCAACCTGTGGCGGGGCGGCGTGCAGCCGCAGCTCCCGCAGCCCATGCTTTGGGGCTGGGTCACGAAGCCTCCACAGAATTCACTGTCACACCCCCACTCTGCTAAACTGCCCAACGCCCAACCCAAACACACCCAAAACTGTAATAGACCAATAGTGGATGTGTCTTTGGAGCAATTTATGCCATCCGGCTCACTTCTCACATCTCACACGCGCGGCAAGCTGTGCCTCCCCCGGCCATGGGAGCGGCGGGTCTGCCGGGACCCAAGCTCTGGTGCCTTGGGCGGAAGAGAGCAGGAAGCCATCCCGCACGGCCGGCGGAAAGAAGAGCAACGGAGCAAACAAGAGAAAACCAAAGAGACATGTGACAGGTGCACCTGGGGTGGTGGCCTTCCGGGCATTGCGCCTGCCAACGAGTGACCGGGTGGCCTAGTTCCTGCCTGGCACCATGGCCTTGCAAGGGGAACGCGAAGCAGCCCATCCTGAGCTCCGAGGCTCGAAGTCGCCCGCTCGCCGCTTCAGGCTGAGCTTGCTGCGCATTGGGGCCTCACATTGCACTTTCGGCCCGGCAGATTTGCCCAATGCGAGGCACACCGCATGGGTCGGAAGACGGCAAGAGGGCGCACCCACAGGCATTGACGGCGGCTTTCCTGGCTGCATCCTGGGCATTCCGCACATCGCTTTACACGCCATGTGCGTTTTCAGAGCAGCGGCAAGATTGCGGTGGTTTGGGTTAATGCTGGGGAATCCCTACAAAAATGTGTTCTGCCTTTTTGTTTCCCCTGAAAACCAACCTAAAGGACGATCCCTGAAAAGACACATCCAAACCTGAGATGGATACCCGGTGAACACTGGGCGCGGCATGAAGCCAGCCATCCTCGGGGCATTTCCACTCTTTAACACCAACAGAAAGACGGCTAGCTGCCGAGCATGGTGGCAACTGACAGGGTCTGTTCTTCCTCTCGCTCGCAGGCGAGCCAACTTTTTTGGCCCAGCGCTCGGGCTCACAGGAAGTTGCACTGCTTGATGGCTCTCCGGCGAGAAGTCCTGAGCCAAATTCACAGCTGGCGTTTTAAAGCTCAGATTCCGTGACTTCGTTTCTCTTGGCCGATCAAATGTTCAACTGGTGCAGCGCAGGCGCAATCTTGCCGGCAGGAGCACCTAAGTTGGCTGCCTGCTGAGGCATCAAACCACTCAAAGTTGCCTGCCACAGCCGCCATGCAGAACTGTAGTTGCCATTCCTGCATCTTTGCAGCCAGGCCACAGAAAGGAAGGCCGGGCACATTGCCAGTTTTGAGTTCTTGGCACTCGCTGCGCCAGATAAAACATCATCGCCATCTTTCCGATCATCCGGGAGCGTCGCCTTGGGCTCAGATTTCCGGGCAATCTAAGATGGCCACAAAAAACACCCTGAAGCAGATTCTCCCTTTGGCCATGTGTGTATATAAATATATATATATACATATATGCAGCTGGTGGGAAACCATCTTCAACGCTGAGGCCCTCGCTGCGTTCCCCGGCTGCTTGCCGACGCCCCGAAGGCAGGGAGACTCCATGAGGTACGTCAGCTGCACGGCGGCTTTGTCCGCGATGGCCTTGGCCACCCTTGCTTGCTCCTTCACGAACTTCCTGGGCTCTTTCGTCAGCAAAAACTGTGGCTCAAAAAACCGGAATACCAAAATGGAAGCCTGGTAAGTGGAAACATGGACCAAAACCTGCGTAACCCCTCCTGTTTGATTTGGAGCCACACCCAGGGAGAGGCCACCCCTGGAAGGCTTCTTAGGATCTTCTAGAAGGGGGGCTCCCAGTTCGACGGACGTTACCTTTGCAAGAAACCCAAAGCCAAAGCCCCACCCCCCCACCCCCAGCTACTGGTGCCCTGCTGAGTTCTCAGACAGGTTCCGACGCGTTTCAGAAGCAGACTCAGTTCTCACGCGCTCATTATCTAAGCTTTTGACGGCTAACAAGACATCCTCAAAACCAGGAGGTCCAGCTTTGATTGGCCAATCAGGCAAATCGCCGCAAAGCAGGCAGAACAAAATCCGCTCCGGCCATGCTGCATGCTCTCCATGGCCCGCAGGGCGTTGGCCACCTCGTGCCTTGCCCAGTGCAGGCCCTTGAAGCCCATCTGCCCCTGGGACCCCGCGTCTGGCTGCGGTGAGTGGTCGTCCGGGTATCCCGCACGCTTCATGGCCAGAATCAGCTTGAACCGGTCCCGCGGGGTCTCCGCCTCTGTGACTCAAAGGGCGCTGCCGGCTGGCAAACACATGCTGTGACTGCTTGGGGCGCCAATGGCAGGCCAAATCCAGCTAACTAATCGGCATCCAGCGCAACCAATCTTCCCTCCCGCACAAGCCAGTTGGCAAAGCACGCACACGCACACCGCACGCGAACGCAAAAACCCAGAGAGACCCACTCGCGCAAGACTGCATCCGAGTCTCCTTCGGCTCCGGGATCAGTATGCTCTGCCCTTTCCCCGCCAGGCCACCCAGTGCGCCCGCCGCGCCGGCCAGGGAGCCAGCCGCTTTCATGAGGCCACCTATGAAGGAGGTCCCATGGCCTTCCATTTCCTCGGCCATGGCCTGGAGCTTCATGGCACCGAGTCTTGTGAGTGCTCCTTATCAGCCTTATCACCAAAGGAAAGGGCGCAAGTCATGGAGTGGATCACTGCACGTCTGAGTCCCAAACTCAGCAAGTGAAAACATCAGGTACTGACCAACTTGGAGGGCCCAAGGCGGACAAATCGTGAGTAGCATGTTTGCTAAATTGGGCCTGCGGCTGAGAGCACTAATTGCTTGCAGGGGGCGGGAAAACACGAATGATGGCCTGTCAACTTGCCCGCACGGTCAAGAAGAATTGTCCACTGTGCATTCGCAATCAAAGGGCTGAGTACTGCGCGAAGCAGTTGGACCTGAGGGCTCCGAGAAACCCCAGCAGAGAGAGAATCCGCCGGCCTGAACTGGCATGTGGCACGGCCTCTGCTGTTGGCCTGGGAATTCACAGGGCGTTCATAGCACCAACTACCACCATGGGCCACAGCATGGCTCATTCTCGAGTCACGGCATTGGCCAACACCATCTTCATGGGTCAGTGAATCCTTTCTGAGGTCCTGGCGCATGACCTGCGAGCTGAGCATCCGCTGGCTTCATGGCCGCAAGTATCGCCGTCAAAGCAGCCTGGGAGCACAGCTTCCCTGAGACTGCGACCGGCTTTGACGTGGCACCGCTGCAATGGCTTGCAGGCTGAACTGAGGTGAAAGGTGCCAAAATGGATTCTGAGGATGCGGCGTCCACTTTGGTGGCGTTACATCTGTGCAGCAATCCGCAGGTCGCCTGAGCATTGACCAGGCGCAGGTCCGGCGCAGGTTCAGCAGCTTGCACTCTCACAGGGCGGTGCCAAGGCTTGCAATGCCAAGGCGTTCAACGATGCCTCGGGACCAGCAATCATCGCACACGCTGCACCCGCATGCTGGGGTGCGTACAAAGGCTTTCGGCACTTCACCGAGACACTCAGAATCAGGCCTCAAGCGGCGATTTGGAGTCACTTGTTAATACTCGTGTCACTCACAATGCAAGCTTTCTTGTTTGGCGTGACTTATAGCTGGAAGGCTTCAACTCCTTCTTGGAAGGGTTTGTCAAACGGGCCTTTGCCACGTTAAAAAAGCAAAAAATGGCATCAGCCCATTCCGTTGTACTTCAGCCGCGCTGGGCTGCAAGCACGAAGTCGCGGTCACTGGATGACACCGGGTGAAACGAACTTGGCCGCGCCGCTACGGCCCGCTGACCGTCGTTCTTCGAATTGGGGCCCACGTGGACTTGCGCTGCTTCTGGGTCCCCTGAGTCCCCTGGGTGATGCGCCGCGACACAGGCTCTCTCTCGGCCGGGCTTGGAAGCGGTCCGCCTGCAGGCCAGGCAAAGGAGGCATGCCAAGGAACATCGCAACATGAAAATGTCTTGCAACCTGTTTTTTTGGGCAAAGGCTGCAAACAAAGTCTTCTCAAGTGACCGCAACTTGTTCGTGTGGTTGTCAGCGAAAGGTGGGGAAGCATGCAAGCGGCACCTGCGTTGCCCAGGATCGTGTCGAATTGCTCCTCCACGAAGACCATGAAATCCGCCATGACCACCGCCTGGCGCCTGATGTCGTGCCGTAGCCCCACAAGGTCAATGGTCTTCGCCTGCCCTTTCAGTCGAAGCAGCCCATCCACGAATTCCTGGCAGGAATGCCAGGCATCTGACCCAAAACAAAAATTGACACGCCAGCTTCCGGAGTTTACAAGGTTGGTGATACCTGATGGCTTTACGTTCTGGCTTGAGATCGGCCATCCAATGTGAGCCGCCCGCAGTGCCAGCAAACTTGTCGGTCTGTGGGAAGGCGGCTCCGACATTTGGGAAGCCTTTTGGGATTGACAATTGGCACGAGCATGTGACAGTTGATAGTTATGCGGGGCAGCTGTTGACAACATGTGTTTGCATCGGCTGAATCACGCCACTCGAGGTTGTCATGCGACAAAAATGGTTCGACTGCACCAGGGTAGGCAAAACGGACGATGTCAGGCCAATCGAATTGCGACCTGTCTCAGTTGCTGGCCAACCGGCACGGCACCCGCAGACTAAAGCCAGCTGACAATAGCACCGAGCTGGGCTTTTGCAGAGAACGGCTTCCTGGGGCGCGACATTCAGCCTGGCAAAGCACCCCACGACGTGATGCTTTGGACACCTGCCGTCATTGCCGGCCAATGAAGCGTTGCTTTGCTCGCGGAAAGCAACTTCAAGAGATCGAGGCGCGAAACTGCAACGTAGACAGCTGAAAGCAACGATTCAGCCATGTGTTATCTGAGAGACGTTGCACTACCTCAAACCGCTGCCGCCTGAAGACCATTTAAGGGATATATTTGAGCGCCTTACTTTCCAGCCGTGTTGCTCCCTCAAGCGAAGCAAGCTGCAGTGAATGCGGTTGAAACTTGTGAAATCTGCCCCCAAAGCAGTGTCACCAGAAAGTATAAAGGATCCGAAAACAGAAATGCAGCTTGGCACGTGCCTTCTGTTGGATTGGCGGCAAAAGAAAAACAAACTCCATTTTGCTGTGGCGGATGCTCTCTACCTAGTCTGGGGACTGATGCCCTCGCTCCGGGGTCAGCCGTTCAACTAGCACGTGCACCACGGCAGCCAATAGAAAAATCTCAGATGGGCCTATGTCAAAAGCGTGATAGTTTTGTCGGTTTTGTTTGGGCTCCTTCAGTTTCAGTCATAGCTTACGCAACGCATGTTGTGCCTTTTGCAATATATCTACACTTATAAGAAACAAGTCACATTCCTGGAGAGGAAGCTTACGGGAAGACGTTTCCTCTTCAGTCGAGATGATGAGAACGTGGCAGGTGAGGACGATAAGCACAAGCTGGGAGCCTGCACTGCGGTTCTTGTCTGCCTGCATTTGCACCGCAGCCTTTTAAGATTGTTTGCTCAAACAAAGTGTTCTTACAGAAAATGCGAACATGCTTTGAGCACCAGATTGCCCCCATCTCCTCAGTGGGGGGGGGCCTTTTTCTCAAAGCTGTTCGACAAAATGTTATCTCGAAAAGCTATGGAGGTGTTCCTTTAACAGATTGGTATGAAAGACGTAGTGACCACGTGCACGGCGATGCCTGACGCACATCCAGGCAATGCTTGGTCGCAAGGGTGCGGAATGGGTGGTTTGCACGAAATATCCAGTGCACATTTCAGCTGCACAAGGCCTCTGATACAAAACCTCAAATGGGCATGGGTCATTCTCAAAGCACCAGGGGACCGTAGGTGTTAGTCTTTGGTTCCATTTACCAGGGTTCCAATTTGGGTACCTATTTTTGACCCACAGCCAAATGCCAAGGCCAAGCGTTGCGAGATGCCCCATTGCCCGCGTGCCCTGCCTCCACTGACAGCTCCCCACTGCCGTCCGTGTCCAAGAGCTTGAACATATTTGAGCTGGATTCCACGGTAATGTCCAGGAGTGCCAGATAAGCTTGCATATCCTCTCGGGCCAAAAGTTCCTCCAGCTGCTCGAACGTGATGCTTTGACAATCGTCTTCATCCACATGTCCAAACAAAACTTTGAAGCTGCAGATATGCTCCTCTCTTTGTCGAATTTGATCCATGATGACTTGATCTTTGTCAGCTTGGGCCATTTCAAAAGCGTGCTCGCAAAAAAATCCTGTTACGACCTGAGTTGCAGAAACATTTAGGCAAACATGTGCACTGTAATTAAAACGTTCATCGGCCAAGGGGATATGCATGCAACCCCGAAAACTCAAATCAGAAAAGCGCTGCCAAGTCTGGACCAGCACGTTCGCCATGCAAAAAAGCATGAACATCACGTACAGCAACATCCTTGGACGTCACGCGTTTCGCAAATGCACAGGCTCGAGCCAACATTTACCGAACCCAGTGCAACATGACAAAATCTGCCTGGGCCCGCGTTTCCGAGAAAAAACCTGTGAACTGGTCTTTAAAAGAACTGCGCGGATTTCTAAAGGCGAGCCTCCGGAAGATGGTTTTTGGAGGATGGACGGATTGAAGGTTTCGCAGACTCATCGAAGTGGCGCTGTTTCGCAGCACGGAAGACACACACAGGGACACAACGCAGAGACTTAAACATACACACAGCAAGACACGCCGAACCACAAACGCAACACACACACACACGCAACCCCACAAACAAACAAACAAACAAACAAACAAACAAACAAACAAACAAGCAAGCAAGCAAGCACGCAAACGAGCAAGCATGCAAGCTGCAAAGCAACAAAGCAACAAAGCAACAAAGCAACAAGCAAGCAAGCAAGCAAGCAAGCAAGCAAGCAAGCAAGCAAGCAAGCAAGCAAGCAAGCAAGCAAGCAAGCAAGCAAGCAAGCAAGCAAGCAAGCAAGCAAGCAAGCAAGCAAGCAAGCAAGCAAGCAAGCAAGCAAGCAAGCAAGCAAGCAAGCAGCAAGCAAGCAAGCAAGCAAGCAAGCAAGCAAGCAAGCAAGCAAGCAAGCAAGCAAGCAAGCAAGCAAGCAAGCAAGCAAGCAAGCAAGCAAACACAAACAGAAACAGAAACACAAACACAAACACAAACACAAACTCAAACCCAAACACACAAACACGCAAACGCACAAAAACACAAACACACAAAAACACAAACACGCAACACACACAAAGGCACACGCAACACAAACACAAATACGCATGTGCAAACACGCAAACAAACACAAAAACAAACCAACAAACGCACAAACAAAACAAACAAACCAACAACCAACCAACCAACCAACCAACAAACAAACAAACAAACAAACAAACAAGCAAGCAAGCAAGCAAGCAAGCAAACAAACACAAATCCAAACTGCAAGCACGCACGCTAGCACGCAAGCTAGCACGCATACATGCAGGCAAGCAAAGCAAAGCAACAAAGCAAGCAAGGAAGCAAGCAAGCAAGCAAACACACAAACAAACAAGCAAGCAAACAAACAAACAAACAAACAAGCAAAAAAAAACGAAAGAAAGAAAGAATCAAAGAAAGAAAGAAACACACAACCAACACCCCAATACACAAACACCCCAATACACAAACGCGCAAACTCTTAAGCACGCAACTCGCGCACAGCCGCAAACACATGCAAACACATGCAAACACATACAAAACGCGCAAGCACCTACCCAGGCACCCGCCCGCCCAGGCAGTCATTCATGCAGACACACATGCAAGCACGGACGACACACACGCACACTCACAAACAAACAAAGAAACAAAAGAACACACAAACGAACAAACAAACACAAAGCAACAAACAAACAAAAAGACGCAAGGATAGACAAACATACAAATGCTTCAGGGACCTGGCACACACGCAGCTGCCAACCTGCTCTATCACAGCCGATCTGCGGCCAAGCAACAAGAATACGTAAAAGGGCCCAAGCAGGAATAGAGAACTTGCCTTGGGTACTCAGGGAAAAACAGAGACGTAGGCACACCGAAAGGCAATCAGTTCTGTTTGAGTTTAGCTAGGGTGGACCTCCCAAAATTGCAAAGGACCCGCGGAAACCAACGGCTCCCCGTAACTTGCCAAGATTTAGCGCAGGTTGCCTGGCACTAAGGGAATTAACCATCTTGGATTCCGATGCCAAGCTACTGGCTCACCCCAGCTGACACCTCCACACACTGACTTGAACAACGTGTATGCCGTGCGCTCCAGCGTGCCGAAGTTCCGGATCAACTCATCCAGGTCCTGACTAGGGAGAAAACGGAACCGGACAGATCCGACAGAAATCCATCAGCACTCGAGCCAAGCATCCGAGTGAGTTGGTTGCCGAAGCGAGAACTCCAAAGACGACTCAGTAATGCTGACTGCGAACAGGTAAATGATGATGAGCATAACCAGCGCTGTCCAACAAAGCGAGCTCAATGTATGCAGTATTGTGTACACCAGAGTGCGGAGTTGCCGCAAAAATCGCGTCATTCGGATGATGCGCGCCACACGGATAATGCGCGCGAAGCGAACCACCGAAAGAGTTGCTGTGCTGTCTTGGAAGATCATAGTCAGCACGAGCTCCACGGTAGAGAGTGACACAATTATTGTGTCAAATATATTCCACGGCTTGTCAATACGGTCCGTAAGAAAGCGCATTCGAAATGCAGCCATTCTCATCGCCAGCTCTGCTGCAAACAAAACGCAGAAAGCAACTTGAATAATTCGAAAGCCCGTCGATCCCGAGGGCGCCAAGCCGTAGGCAACAAGCTCCACTTCCAGCCCAATCGTCAGGGCATTCAAGCAAATCAAGATGGCCTCGGCATGCCACGGCGGGGAAACTTGGCAGGGCTTCATCTGCTTTGAACAATGTTAGGTCAAGTAAGTTGCCGACGCAACATTTGTCAAACCATGGACTCTTCACGATCTGCAGGGACAAGCGATCCGGATCCTCTTCTGCCTCCTTCGCGCCTGGCATTTAGAAGCGCACTTGCGTGGGCGTGTGTGTGTGTGTGAATGTCTTGCGCGCGTGTTGAGGTGTGTGTGCCTGTTGTGTCTGTGTGTGTGTGTGTTGTGTCTGTGATGTGTGTGTGTGTGTTTCTGTTTCCGTGTTTGTGTGCGTGTTTGTGTTGCGTGTTTCTGTTGCGCCTGTGCGTTTGCCTTGTCCTAGGTTCTTGCAGTGTGTGTTTGCGCGTGTGTGTGTGTGGGTGTGTGCCTTTGCAAGCGTGTCTTTGTGCGCATGTGTGTGTGTGGTGCTTGTGTGCGTGTGTTGTGCTTTGTGCGTGGGTGCTGTGCGTGCGTTGTGTAGTGTGTGTCTGTGTTCTGCGTGTGCGTGTGTGTGTGTGCTGCTGTGTGTGCTGTTCGTGTGTTTGTGCGTTCGTGCTTTCGTGTTTGAGGTTCATGTGTTCTTGTGATTTGCGTCTGTATGTATTGTGTATGTGTAGTGCTGTGTGTGTGTGTTGTGAATTGCGCGCGTTTGCTTGTGAGCTTGTGCGCGCGTATCTGTGCCGGTTGTGTGTGTGTGTGCTCTGGGCGCGTGTGTGTGTGTGATGAGTGTGTGTGTGTGGTATGTGTGTGTGTGTGCTGTTTGTGTGCTTCTGCGTCTGTGCTTGTGGTATGTGTGACTGTGTTGGTGCATAGCGTGTGTGTCTGTGTGTGTGGGCGCGTGGTGTGTGTGTATGGTTGCGCGTTCGTGTGTGCATGTGTGCGAATGTTTGCGGCTGTGCGTGTGTGTGTGTGTTGCGTGTGTGTGTGTGTTGTCTGTCTGTATGTGCAGCTTGCGTATCGAGTACGTGTCCTCTGTGTCTTGGTCGTTTGTGTGTTTGTGTGGGTGTCTGTGCTTGCGCGTTCCTGTGTTCGTGTGTTTTACGTGTGCGTGTGGTGTGTGGTGTGTTGTGTGGCCTGCTGTGCTTTGTGTGTTGTGTGTGTGTGTGGTGTGTGTGTGTTGTGTGCTGTGTGTGTTTCTGTTTGTGCTTGTGGCTGTGTATTGGTGCTTGTGTGTGTGCTTTCGTGGTGTGTGTGTGTGTGAGTCGGCGGGCGGATGGGTGTGTGATGTGTGTGTGATGTGTGTGTGTGATGTGTGTGTGATGTGTGTGTGTGTGATGTGTGTGTGTGTGTTGCGTGTGTGTGTGTTGTCTGTCTGTATGTGCAGCTTGCGTATCGAGTACGTGTCCTCTGTGTCTTGGTCGTTTGTGTGTTTGTGTGGGTGTCTGTGCTTGCGCGTTCCTGTGTTCGTGTGTTTTACGTGTGCGTGTGGTGTGTGGTGTGTTGTGTGGCCTGCTGTGCTTTGTGTGTTGTGTGTGTGTGTGGTGTGTGTGTGTTGTGTGCTGTGTGTGTTTCTGTTTGTGCTTGTGGCTGTGTATTGGTGCTTGTGTG